AAGTATAGAATAGATGAGAGGTGGACAACTCGACTGCAGAAAGGCATAGATAGATTAAAGTGCAGACTACGTACAATCAGGTCCTTTGCTAGATGTTATACATTTAATATCGAAGCTGAAATGCTTAAATTCTAAGGCTATACCGGCACCGTACAGTGTGGACTATTAATGTACCGTTAACTCCTCGTCCACACTCTTCAGCCAATACGGTATGTTCGGTACGGTAGGGTACCACAGACAGGAATCCATGGCAGGTGCACGCCCGAGGGCACTAGCGCTCCGTATAAATGCACGCGAGCGAATTCAACAATGCACGCCGAAAATTTGCAATTGCTCACTAATGCAAATGGGTTTGAATGGTTTTTAAATCAATAATCCAGTAATATAAAGATGCTAAAAAATTTTAATTCCACAATTGTCGACTAATACTAGCTTGCAAGATTTGGCCTTATCGAAAAATGCTAAGCAAAAACGACCATATCGTGTTGAATGATAGGAATCCCGTGTAAATAGTTATGGGCGAAAAGATCGCCTCTTCACCGACGCTGGTCAGTTACGGCTCTGATTCAGCGTATTTTTTATACAATAATTTTACAGGGATGTACTGAACAGTACCGGTATCTATAGTCGCACAAACAATCTCTAAATCAGTGACAAAGTATAGAACAGGGGTGGGCAACCCCTGGCACGCGTGCCAAACTCGAGAAATTTTGTCGAGAAGAGCGCAGCATTTATTTGACTACATTCTCACGTAATATAGTTCGTCTGTGCTACCATTTTTGTTCATTTCTGCTGGCTTTATGAAGTTGTAGAGCTCGTGTTGGTTAGAGTTACTTGCTAACTTACTGTTATAAATTGATTTCGCCAGAAATATACGAGATTAGGGAAGGGAATACAAGAGAGAAGTGCAGAAAACAAACTATTGCGTGATTGGGATGCCATTCCCGAACATTTTTCGTGTCTTAAAATCTTGTAAAAAAGTGTATTTCTTTAGAAGTTACAAAATGATAACGCAATGTTAAAATCTCTATTATCGGTAACGCAGAAGAGAAGTCTCACTGATATAGAATAAAAAAAGCAATCGAAACTATTTGCCGGACTGATATTTTCCCGAATGGTGGACCTGCCTGTTCCTGTGTAAAAGGTTTATTTTTGCGTTGAAAATAGCAAAAAAATATTTTTTTAATTTTGGTTGGCACGCAGAAGAAGTTTGTCGTAAATTTAGTCGATTTTGGCACGCGAGCCGAAAAAGGTTGCCCACCCCTGGGCATAGAACAATGTCTGGGGTCAAAGGTCAAACATCCTTTTTCCTCTGGTTTCTCATATTTTTTATCCATTAATTCTACGTAAAAACACTCCCAAAATTGATGACAAAGTATGTCCATTTTGCTTTGATTTAACGTATTTTCTATCCAATAATTTTACGCGAATGTACAGAACAGTACCGGTATCCAAAGTCGCACAAACAGTCTCAAAATTAGTGATTAAGATCTTAAGAACCCTATAAAAAAATCTCTTTTTCTTAGACCGACAACTGTTAATGAAATATATACCACTATAGCGAGCTTATCTGATGATAAAGCAGTTGGTTATGATAACATACCAGCAAAATTCTTAAAATATGCTGCTGATATAGTTTCTCCCATGATGTGTAAACTATTTAATGCTTCCATAGACTATGGTATATTCCCAAATTGTTTAAAAATTGCCAAAGTCTCACCTGTGTACAAGACAGGAGATAAAGAATGTGCATCGAATTATCGCCCTATATCGGTTCTTTCTACGATGACTATAGTTTTTGAGAAAATTATACATAGTAGGCTAATCCAATTTATAGACCAACATAGCATCATAAACAAATCACAGTTTGGATTTCAAAAAAAGCATTCTACTAACCATGCAATGCTTGATATGATGACTCATATTTATGACAAGATAGAGAGAAAGGAATACATTAGTGCTATTTTCCTTGACCTCAAAAAGGCGTTCGACACTGTCGACCATAACATTCTAATAAGAAAGATGAGTCACTATGGTATTAGCGGTCACGCGTTGACTTTTTTCAGGAGCTATTTGAGTTCACGTCAGCAATGTGTTAAATTTGGTTCGAATTGCTCCAAACTCTCTACTGTACAATGCGGAATTCCACAAGGATCGATCATTGGACCGATAATGTTTATTCTATTTGTCAATGACCTTCCCCATGCCACTAAATTACTTGTCAAACTCTTCGCTGACGATACCGGTTTGTTTGGAAGTTCAGCTTCGCCAAACGACTTGGAATTGCGGATGAATTCTGAAATGCAAAAAATTGCAACCTGGATGACCATAAATAAACTCACCATAAATATTGAAAAATCAAAATGCTTATTAATTAGTCCCAGGATAAATGAAAAAAATAAAATTCGGCTTCAAATTAATATTGACAAGGTTCCACTTGAAAATGTCAACTCATACAAATACCTAGGTATCCACATTGATGACCAATTGAAATGGACATCACACATTAATTACATTGCTGGAAAGTTGTCAAGTGCAACAGGTTTATTATTTAAACTAAGAAAATTCCTCACCATGCCAGCTCTCCGATTGGTTTATTTTTCTCTTTTCCAGTCGTATCTGCAGTATGGCATTATGACTTGGGGTAATGCGTCATCGACTCTACTCCACAGATTAGAAGTTTTGCAAAACAAAGCAATTAGAGCCATATGTAGTGCACCTTTCCGATCTAGACTAGATCCTTTGTACCACAGGTGTCGAATTATTAAGCTTGGTCATATCCATGAATTTGAGATACTGAAACTCATGCACCAGTACTTCGATAACAAGCTTCCCATGGCATTCGCGGGAATTTTCAGAATGCAGAGTAATATCCATTCATACTCTACTAGATCAGCTTCGTCAAGTTCATATTATGTCCCAAGATATTCATCAAGCAGGACACAGAAATCCATAAAATACACGGGTGTGAAACTGTGGAATGCCTTACCAAGTACCATTAAATCTTTAGGCTATTACGGTTTCAAATTATATCTAAAAAGTAAATATATTAGTTATTATCTCTCTTCCATCAGCCATTGATTGGAGTATTCAGTATGATTCGCCATCTTCTGTCCATAGCTCAGCAGTCGCATTTGTAGACTGTCGCCATGGCTGCCCAAAAAGCCGGAGGAACTATAGGTGTAAGGAGTCTATTTCTAAAGTACCCGGTACTTCAACTTTACCAACCTTGGTGCAACCTCTACACTAAAATGCCAAAATTCGTTATATTTCAATTTATTGAGCAAGCATATGCCTACCATTCTTTCGTAAATTTTATGCCCACTTGCTGTGGAGCGTATTGTATATATATATATATATATATATATATATATACATATCAACATATCAACGTTTTATGATTTATTAGAGCTTACCAACTTCTATTCAATTAATCACTTACAATTTTGTCTTTGGTCTAACCATTTCCCCTCGCTTGTCGTTTGTCTTTTATGTAACTTATATACATTTATTCAAATATGCCTTTTTTATAAATCTATAGTTGAGTTTTTTTTCTTTTTTTTCTCTATTATATGATTTTAGTAAAGTTGCGTTTGCTGCGAATTTTTTCAAGGATTCAAAATAGTTCATCATAACGACTATTGCATAGTCAATGTTTGTAGCAAATGTAGTTATTTTTTTACACTGAACCAGTGACAGCGCTTTAGGTGTCGCTGCTTGAAGACCTAATATGGTCCCTCGCGACTCCTGTCGCACAAATATCAATATTATTATATTTATTTATTGTACCAATTTTTTGTGCATTTGATGTTTTTGTGACGACGAATAAATGATTGATTGATTGATTAAGTATAGGAAAATTGTTTGTGGGTCAAAGGTTAAACGTCCATTTTTGCTATGATTCAACATACTTTTCATCCAATACCGGTAATTTTACGCGGATAGTAATTTTATGGGATAAAAATATGGATCTGCTGAAAGCTGTCATAATGAACTGTAAACTGGTAAAAGAGAGGATGCCTTTACATGGTTTTAACTTTTTTTACCCATTGAATAAAAAAACATTTAGATTACGAACCAAAATTGTTGGCTGGCTTTCTGCCAGCGGTCTCAGAGATATTGTAGGCGACCTCGGGTCTCATGTAGTTTCGTACCTAACGTACTTCTAGTAGGCGTAGCATAACAATTTCTTCACATGTCAATCCTAACCCCCACCTGACCACACCATCCAAAAATTACGTCACTACGACGTCACAGTGACGTGATAGAGCTCTTCAAACTATGAGAACTGTCATCCAAGACGCGCAGACGAGAACCCGAAATCGAAATGGCCGGCGGTGTGGCTCGACGGGCTAAGCGTTAGGAATACGCTCGCCACCGCACCTCTAATTACTCTGCATGGGTTCGCAGGTTCGAATCCCATGCAGGGATGGTTATGTGCGAGAAGATTGCTGGACTCCTCGCCGTCGTTGGGTGGTTCACGTAACCGCTGGTCGGTTACGGCTTCCTCCACCACCAAGTCCATGCTTCCGAAAACAAACAATATAACTAATCCCATACCCGACTTGGAATGGTAACCGGACGAGAGGCCGTGGTTCGCCATATAGATAAGCCGTCTTATCGGCTTTCCTCTCCCCCGGGATAAATATGTAAATCCTATCCTATCCTAACAGCCATTTCTCTCGTTTTCTCGTCGCAGCGATCCCGATCGGAGAGAGATCGCTGACGTTAGTCAGTTCTTTATCGTCGGCGCCGATGCTATTTCGGGCGATCGTACGAGTATTTGGCAAGCTCTATGACGTGATTGTGACGTCGTAGTGACGTGATTTTTGGATGGCGTACTCAGGTGAGGGTTAGGATTGGCATGTCAAAAAATTGTTATGCTACGCCTACTAGAAGTACGTTAGGTACGAAACTACACGAGACCCGGCGACCTCTATCTTAATTCCTCTTAGGATCTACATCCATCTCACTGAGTTTTCATTGTCAGATTGTGTTTTTTCATTGGAATTCTGAGGTTAAAACAATTTAAGATATATTTTGATGTAATACCGGTAATAGATGTTTTTTACATAATATTTGTATAAATAAATTATTATGTCGGGAAGACGTTTTTTGGATTCAAAGAGACCGAAAGAGATTGGCAATTTATATATTGGATGTAACAATGTTAATATCAACAACAGAGGAAAATCGACAGAGTTCCGTAAGAATTAATTTATTGCTAGATTGCAAATATTGCCAATTTAACAACTGTTTATGATTCCTCAAATTTCAGAATCGAGCAACTTGACGAGCCTCCGAATCGTATTATTGTTTTGATTTATTCTTACGCGGGATTGCTTTAAAAATAAGCTGTATTGATTTAATCATTTCAATAACACGATATGTGTGTGTTGTTATTATCTCTCCAGAAAATATTACGCTCAAAGTGAAAAGCTATTGAAACCATGTGGATTTATGCATGAGCATCTTGCGCCAGAGTACCACAGCAACGTAAAAAGGCCTTCCAAAATATAATAACGAGACGCGTAGTCGATCACCCGAAATCAAGCAAGCTATTTCTCTTATGTACTTGTTGTAGCGATACCGATATGAGAGAAATCGCTGGCATTAGTGAGTTCTTCATCGTCGGCGCAGATGCTATTTGGTATATTGCAAGCTATCTTTTCATAATAGCTAACATTACTTCCTTTTTTTTTATGTTATAGAAGCCAAAAGACAAGGAACTGACATTGCAGAAAATGTTTTCATTGGATGCCACAATGTGAAGAAAGATGACAGAGAAGCAACATGCAAAGTTCAAGGTAATAAACCAACATTACGTTTCCCAATGAAATATTTCAATGTTGAACGTAAAATCTAAATACTTTTATTAACGTCATAATGTGTATAGTCTGATTATCAAACCAGTACCTTGTAATACTGAATAATAACTCAACGAAACAAACAAGTCTTTCCCAAAGCGATTACCAATTATTATCTCACTAAATATCCCACACACAAATCATGTAACACTTTGTAGCCCTTGAGGAGAGAGTGATAAAAAGATTCTGAGATTTTCAGTGGGCAAAGACTCTTATTCATTTTTTATATTTTTTTTCTGTCACTGTAATTAAGGTTGCACTACCGGTTCTGCGTCCATGGATGTATTTGAAGGATGTAGTGGTGTAACGATACAACACAAAAATACTATTAAAGAAGTTGGTATGTGAGAAAAATGAATTGAACTTTTATATGACAATATAATAAGCAAAAGCTGATATATTTACAAAATAAAAATGGCCCTAATGTAGCATAAATTCCCATTCTTTGAATGTTTTTATGAATCGTTTAATGACAGAAGTCGGGTTGTTCTTGTTCTTCTTCAAGGATGTTTGTTCTTGCTTGAAGAATGAGTAAAACTGTGTTTTTTCACATTACATTTATGAACACGATAAATGCCTTACTCTCACTTTAGAAGTGCAAATGCACTGAACCAGTGTTCTCAACCTTTTTTCAAGGGAACCAAATTTAAAAAAAAAAGAATTTTGTAGAATCTTGTGATCGAAGGTTAGCTCAAATACTGATTGGTATTTAGTGCTTTTTAGTCAGCAAACAATCATATTCACCTAACATTTATTTTACCACATATTACTGCACTTGTTTGCCACCAGCGACTTTTTGAAATTGTGCTGTGGCCTGTGGCTTTACTTAACTTGAATAGATGCTGTCAAGTTTTTTGCACTGTGAGCCTTTCCACATATACAAATATTAGAGAGCAGCACTTCAATACCAAATAGAAAATTTACTAGAAAACAAATGAAAGTTTTTGTTAAAAAAAAAGAGACCCAAGGGGATTTTGAGGAGACCCAGCTCTGGGTCACGGGCCATCAGCTGGGAAGCGTTGCTCTGACTCTTTCGTTTCTCTTATCCTTGTGACAAGACAAAAATGACTTTCACAGTTGGAGGAGGCATACCTGGCACCGAAACATCTATCGTAACTGCACGAAATACAAAGAATTTCAATCTATCTTCAAGTGACAGTAATATGACTCTGAGAACAGCGGGTTTAGAAGGTATTTAAAGCGGCTTCAAAGATATTTTTATGAGGGAAAGTGATGAAATAATAAAATTGACTTGGAGAAATAGCAGCATACTGTCCAGTGTCCAGTATTATTGTAATGGTGCTATAACATTATTGATCGGCATTGTCATGGGTAATTAATTGAAATAAATTTGTTGCGATTTGACACAATTTTAACTACATTTTTTTCAGAGAAGACAATGCTCCAGGAATTAAAATATTGATACAGTGATATACCGGTATCTTAAATAGTAATGCCAGAGGGTAGTGGTACTAATGTGATTGTGAAACTTAACCAGCGGATTTGTTTTAATGTTGCCTTTTTACTCCAAATGTAGACATACCTCATTTTTCAGGTTCAAGTGCAAGTTTTGTAGTTCTTGATAGAGTGGAGGGTGGAACACTGGATTTTACTTCTGATTCTTCCGCAGACACCAACCGAACTAAATAGCAACGTCTAACCTTTTTGAAACTTTAATTTGTAATTCAAATATGCAAAGGTATTAATATAAACCGCGAAAAACTTCAACACTGGCAAATACAGTAAGCATTTTTGCTTTCTGAAGTCATCAACTTCCGCGAAAAAAGTTCGAATTAAATGTGCCTAAGACAATATTTCCTGCAAAATATACTTCATTGTTTACTATATTATTTGATACCTAAAGGGTGTCCATAAAGTCCCTTTCAATTTCAATTTTGTTATGAAGGCAGTTCTACATATATCTTGAACAGGTTTGTTGTATCTTAATTAATCAGTAATTGTTTAGGTTCTTTTTTACTTCATTTATTTATCTGTGAGGGTCAAAACAATATATGGTATCGATAAATTCCATTTTTAAATACTTTTAAGACTTTATGGACACCCTGTAAAATATAACTATTATTTGGTAGTTTACTTACAAAATTAATTCTCATAGTAGCCTATGAGCGTTTAAACAGATCAACATCCACAAGTAATTGTTTGGTATTAGGTTGTAAAACTACACTAATAGCAAATGATTTTTGATGTACCGGTAGGTATATTATGGAGCTTTAAATTACATTTTGGTATTTTCCTAACTGTACTTTTCTGTTTCTCAGTCTTAAATTAGCATATATCACATTATGTATTATGTCAAACTTCTTTGAACATCGCTGTATTTTTACAAAAATGTTAAAATATTTTTTATTTGTATCATCATTAAAAACTGCACCAATATATCGACCTATAACAAAAAAGTTTTGCTTCATATTCACAAAAAAATTTCCGGAATGTTGATGTAGATTCTTGCCATTCACAGAATTATATATTTGACTAATCTTTCATTTTAGCCACACGGAGGACATGTGTAAAGTTGGAGAGATAAGATAATGTTTTCATCTTTTAATATTTTTTTTAGTTCACTGCTCTTACCATACTGTGATTTTGTTGCATAATATTTTTATGATTTGATGTTCCTTGATCTAATAGCAAGTTAAACAGAGGTTTATTGAATTTTTATGTCGTATTTATCGCTCCAGTTCTTAGTAAATTTTACCATAAAGGATTTGGATTCATGAACAAAATAGAGCTACATTAACTTGTTGATTCATAATAAGAAGGGGAGAAAGCATTTATATTCAGTATGTGTGTTTGCTCTGGTATTCAATTTTATTACCAAAGATGATAAAAAAAAGCAGAACCGTATCGGTGACTTGTCACGATATGTTCACGTTTCACTTGCTACGCTCGTATTCAGCGAATGAAATTTCTCTTGTTTTCTAAACCTTTTTGTCACGCACTTTGTGAAACAATAATATCAGATTGCTCAGGGGTATGTATAAATATCTATATTGTTCATATTTTTATTCGTTTGAGAAAGTATTAGGGCGCGAGTTAGCTACCCAACTTTCTGATTTCTGTATTCATTGGTAAAAATTGCAAGGCTGATAATAACGTATTCATGATTGAAAGGCTAATATAAGAGAAAATCTCCGGGATCTTATGTAAGAAGTTCCCGCCAATAATGCATAAATGTGTGATAAAACACACCAGCCACGTTTTAAAATAAGGTAGTAGTTACCCAGTCCGGGTTATAAAGGAGGAGTTTAAAATTGGGATTTTCAGTGCAATCTGGATTCCTAACCCTAACTGGATATCTACTAATTTTCTTATTTCGAGCGTTGGCGGGAGCTTTGCACAAAAAAATCCAACTTAGTGGAATTGGACCTCCTGAAGTATGCGCACCAAGATGGCGCACAACCTGAACTCAGGGTATGTACCAGGTTAGGGTAATCTTGTCTTGGAAATAATTGAAACTAGTATTTTTACTTAAAAAAAAAATAACGTACAAGTATCTCAATTCAATAACAGTCGTTAAAATGTGTCCGTCCGCGATCAATTGCAAGTGGGGCGCATTTTTAAATTTTACATAGATAGACCATTGTATCCACGCCAACAGTTTGTTTGTCCTAATCATAGATAGAAAAATAAAACAATTATTGTTCCTACTATACTCGACCACAAACCTACTCTTACCCACGGTCGTGTCTAACTTTTCTGCTGCTCAGGACGAGTTTCTGATAATGCTGCCCCTTATACCTAACTTTGAAAATAATTTGGGGGAGAAAGTTAGAGATGTTGTCATACATAAAAAAAAATAAAGGTCAGGTGAGTGAGATGTTTGTATGTATGTATTATTAATTAAATCATCAAACTAAGCAACATACTCACCCCTATAACGTGGCTGCACGGGGCGGCTGCCCCCTGTGGCACACCTTTAGACACGCTCCTGCGCTTAACGTATGACATGATTGTAATAGCCCCTTGATTATAGTATATTTACCACGCTCTAAGTCTAGCTGGTTTTCTTTTTCTCAAGGTTCCGTGTCAAAGAATAAGGGGAAGAGGGGAAACCAAAACAAACACGCAAATACAGCGATGGAAGCACAACCAACAAAGCTACGATATATATCAACCTGGAGGCGTTTGAACGAAAACAACCGGTCCGCCACAAATGTAAGTTGACCGTGTAAATTTACTGCGCTGGATATTGCTGATTTATAAATACAGACTTAACAAAATTGGTGTTTGTGGTAGAAAATCCAGTTTCAGTGTGATAGAAGGCAGAACCCACTTACACAATTTTACCATGCCAAGGTCACAAAAATACGCCAAAATGACTGTATAGTTCAGCAGCAAAGTTTTAACAGGTCTTTATATGGAGCTCCAGAAATATGTGCATCAAGGTGGCGCACAACCTGAACATAGTATGTGTACCAGGTTAGGGTTCAGGTTGTGCGCTATCTTGGTGCACATACTTTGGGAGCGCGCTTTATATTTTCTTTCGAGTTTTGATAGGTAGGCAACCCGAAATTCTCGTTTGTGTAATAAAACGAAGCTTAATAAATTATTCGTGATCCGAATTCTATGAAGATTGTTGCTCATATTCCAAAACATTTATATTTGTGCATATTATGTATTTCAGAAGCCCCCTCCCACCGCTTAACAATCCAAGCCTCGCCCCTTCGTTATTGTTAAATACGGTCCTCAAAAATGGCATAGGCCAGGGCCTCTCGTTGTCCAAATTGTTGGTATTTAGTCCGGATTCCTGAAACTTTTCGGTACAATTATATACAAATATGAAGGTTAGGCTTGCACGTAATTTACGGAATTACGTAATTATTTAGAGTTACGGAAGGGAAGTTACGAATTACGTAAAGTCGTAATTTTGCATTGAAACGAGCTTTCTTCAAAGCAGTCAATTTCGTCGATTGCGAAAAATGAAAGCTCAACAAGTAGAAGAAGTTAGCTTTCCGGTATTCGCAGCCGTTTATTTCTCTTTTCTCTCTCTTGTTACATAGGTGAAGGAAGGCATGACGCGTTGCCATTTACTAACCTATTATCAACTTATCTGGCATGGCCAATGTAAATTAATAACGTAGTTAAGGGGGAAGAACTGAGTAGGGCCGTTTGACGCCAACACACCTGGTTTTAACTTCTCCCGCAACTTAACCGTAGATAAGGGATTGCGTTGAGACCGATTGACGCCAACACACCTGGTTTCAACTTCTCTCGCATCTCATCTAGCATGGCCATGGCCAATGTACATAATAACCGTAGATAGGGGGAAGAATTGTGTTAAGACCGATGGACGCTAACACGCCCGGTTTCAACTTCTTCGGGTGAAATGACTAATGAACGCGGGAGATCAATCTATCAAACATTTGTATCCATTTTATTTACTTGTTCCAGTTTTCCGTTACTTATGGTATATATGTTCCGTTTCTATTTTATTCTATTTTATAGTCACGCGGGGAATAGTGGGAAATTCCCCACAAAGTGTGGATTAGCAATGCTTAACCATTCTTTATTGTTAATATCAACACTTGATATATGAACATGGAATATCATACTGTTTTTGGCTGTTTTATTTCGGACTTGGGATATAAACAGGAAAATATCCATAACCTTTCAACACGACGATCTTGCGAAATTTAACGAAGAGCTTTCGCGAAGAATTGGAACCAAATAAACGAAAAGAGCGATTGATCACTCGCGCCAATACCTCGCCGTGATAATTAATGTCGCGCTTATCAAATAGCAATATAACGACAAAAGAGAGATTGCGTAATGAACCAACGCAACTTCGTCTTCTCGGCATCGGTAAAGCGATTGAGACGGCAGAGAAGCAACAAAAAGACGGATTCCTCGCGGACCGCTAAAAATTTAACTGCTATCATATATAATCAAATATGAGCCAGTGTGTTTATTCTGTGCGAGATCCATTTTCTATTACAAAATCTTGATGTTCTGTTAACGGTTTTATCGTTATATATCAGTCCGGACTTGGCCTTGCTCATGATGTTTTTCACAATTCCTCTCAATATTTCGGCCATATATGGTTAACTGTCTTACCAAATGCGGCAACTTTTTTTGATTTATCGTCGACTTTAATACCACCGGCACTCGACCAAACTTGTGTCAATCTTGGCCGATAGGATCGCCGACTTGAGTTAGCAAATAAATGTCGTGAGTGTAAAATAAATGTCACAAAATGCATTGTGTTGCGATATAACTTTGTATTTTCGGAGAAGGCATATCATATAAGTTCGGTATTTAATATACGCAAATAAATAATATTTGATCTAAATTTATCGCAAATAATGTTATAAACATTCAGTCCGCGAAATGATTAAATGTAAAATGAAGCATGGTAATCGGAATATCGTCAATAAGTCGACATCAATAATTATTATTATAAAATGCTAACAAGGCAGTAATGTCGGATAATGCAGAAGACGCTGCAAAAACAAGTCTTCGTCGCGAGGAAATCGCAAGTATAATCAAACGAGAGAATACGCTCGTCGTTGGTTAATAAATTAGAAACCCGTAATTTTTATTCAGTACTAAGGTGGTTTTAAAAAACTATCGTTTCCATAAATATCCGTATACCAGTGTCGCCGTGTCGGTAATGATAAAATAAAATTGATCGCATAAAAATGGGACGGTTAATTTGCGAAGGGGATAAAGGAAAACCAAAGCTAACACAAAAGATAAAAATCAGAATAAAATTAATTTGAATTCACTCCTTGATATTTGTCTTTAACATCTGCCGCCGGCGTGTAGTACTGCCAAGAATATGAAAACCCAACTTCAATGTCCCATTCGGAAAAGAAGTGGATTCAATTGGTTGTTATGATAGGTTTAAATGCGTGAAAAAATATCGCAATTACGGGGTCATTACGTAATTGATTTTGCCGTAATTACGGAATTGAGTTTTGTCAATTACGTGCAAGCCTACGGACGAATAGAAACCGCGCGTCCTTCATCCAACTGTGCTGCAATATTAACATTTCCGAATGTTCGGTATTTTACTGCATTGCCCAGATGCTCCATAGAAGATTGATGATCCCTGGCACGCTCGGAAAGATGTTTAAGATCTCTAAAACCAAATTTACACCAACGTGAGTCACGGGCGGTAGCAAAAAGTAGGCAATAAAAACAAAAAAGTGCATTTTTGTCCTCACTGTAACACAACCATTCGTGTTTTTTATACCAAGTTTCTGCGCAGAATGTACGCCGACGCTTTCCTCCGTCATGCGATTGTTCCAGTGAACAATTTTTTGGTTGATAAGGCCCAAGACGTTGTACCTCTAATTTTTGTTCCAGCGGCATCTGCGAAAACGGAGTGCGAAGTAGTGCATCAACCTTATTCATTATGAGGTCTAAGGCTAAGAAATGCAAAGCCGGAAAGAAGTGAGGAGCTCAAAAGGAATGTGAAAAATCGAAAGCAAATGGACTAAAGGTCTCTAACTGATTCAAATAGCGAAACAAGCGACAAAAACGAAGGCGAGGAAACTATCAACTCTTTAAGCAACCAACGAACGAGAAGGAATGCGTGAATATGTCAACACGTTGTTGTAAGAAACGGCATTGTGTCGTCATAATTTCGGGGCTAGCCCCGATCGGCCCCGATGATTTAGTAAAAGAAACAGAAAACAAACGAGACAAACGCGGCGAGTGGAAGATAAAAGAGTGAATACGATATACAATGAGCAACCGGGGCAAAATCGGCGTCGCCCCGTCAACGTTCGGCGAAGGCTTTGCGAGCGAAAAATGAACCATGTCGGGAGAATATGGCTAGTGTAGACAGTCTGTGCAACCGATATTGAGGTATTTTTCGAATATTTTTTATTATACCGAAAAAACAACCGGGGCATTGCCCCGGTTGGCCCTATTGACGCGCCGCCACTGATGAAATATATGGGCATGCTTCGTTGGGGCCAAGTCTTCTATTTATTCTTATTAATAAACAACAAAATCATCTAATTCAATACGTTCCCAGATCATTTCTATTTAGTACAGTGCTCTTCAACCTTTTTGTTATTGCGGAACCCCTGAAATAATTTTTCGTTTTTTATGGAACCCCAATTAACACAATTGAAAAAAAAAAATACGAAATACTCGTAACACGAAATATTTGTAATTCAAATATTTCTATTTCAACAACGAAACAGAAAGAGAGTAACAAGCGTGAAATTCGATGACTAGGTTGTTCTTGCATTTCCTTTGCAATCTTCTTGAATCGTGGCTCCACGGCGCTCAATGCAATTCTCATATACTCATGTCTACACTCTTTGCACAAATTATTTTGTTTTTAATAGTTGTTAAAGCAGAAAATGCTGATTCACACAAATAGGTATTAGGAAATTGACACAGAAGTTTTGATGCTTTTTTGGCAATTGCTGTATCCGCTTTGTGGAGAGAAATCTAAAAAAATTCTTTCTCATGTTTTTGAGGGTATTAAAAAGTCGGGTTGCACACTATTTTTACTATATTCCAACAAAAGCTGAACAACATGTAACTATGGTGCGACAATGGCGTTATTTTTTTGTTAGTTGCATAACAATGACTAAAGTGACGCAACAACCGAAAATATTTTTCTGCACTGTGACTAAACCTCCTATTTAACGAGTTGGCCTACTTGTAGTTTAAATGAGACACGGTGGTCTAAGAATATTTATAATGACGCATCAACATGCTGAACCAGGAAATGCTTTCCCCTTAAAAAAAAAAAAAACGCGGAACCCCTAAGAAACCTTATAAACTCACGGAATCCACTGCATGTGTTGCGGAACCCTAAGGTTTCGCGGAACCCCTGTTGAAGAGCACTGATTTAGTATAGGCTTGCACGTAATTTACGGATTTACGGAATTACGTAATTATTTGGAGTTACGGAAGGGAAGTTACGAATTACGTAAAGTCGTAATTATTGCATTGAAACGAGCTTTCTTCAAAGCAGTCAATTTCGTCGATTGCGAAAATGAAAGCTCAACAAGTAGAAGAAGTTAGAGTTCCGGTATTCGCAGCCGTTTTTCTCTCTCTTGTTACGTAGGTGAAGGAAGGCATGACGCGTTGCCATTTACTAACCTATCATCAACTTATCTGGCGTGGCCAATGTAAATTATTAACGTAGTTAATGGGGGAAGAACTGAGTAGGGCCGTTTGACGCCAACACACCTGGTTTTAACTTCTCCCGCAACTTAACCGTAGATAAGGGATAGAATTGCGTTGAGACAGATGGACGCTAACGCGCCCGGTTTCAACTTCTTCGGGTGAAATGACTAATGAACGCAGGAGATCAATCTATCAAACATGGTCTATCAAACATTTGTATCCATTTTACTTTTATTTATTATTTACTTGTTCCAGTTTTCCGTTACTTATGGTATATATGTTCCGTTTCTATTTTATTCTATTTTATAGTCACGCGTTTGAATAGTGGGAATTCCCCACCAAGTGTGGATTAGCAATGCTTAACCATTCTTTATTGTTAATATCAACACTTGATATATGGACATGGAATATCATATTGTTTTTGGCTGTTTCATTTCAGACTTGGGGCATAAACAGGAAAATATCCATAACCTTTCAACACGACTATCTTGTGAAATTTAACGAAGAGCTTTCGCGACGAATTGGAACCAAATAAGCGAAAAGAGCGATTGATCACTCGCGCCAATACCTCGCCGTGATAATTAATGTCGCGCTTATCAAATAGCAATATGACGACAAAAGAGAGATTGCGTAATGAACCAAAACGACGGATTCCTCGCGGACCGTTGAAAATTTAACTGCTATCATATATAATCAAATATGAGCCTGTGTGTTTATTCTGAGCGAGATCCATTTTCTATTACAAAATCTTGATGTTCTGTTAACGGTTTTATCGTTATATTTCAGTCCGGAATTGGCCTTGCTCATGATGTTTTTCACAATTCCTCTCAATATTTCGGCCATATATGATTAACTGTCTTACCAAATGCGGCAACTTATTTTGATTTATCGTCGACTTGAATACCACCGGCACTCGACCAAACTTTTGTCAATCTTGGCCTATAGGATCGCCGACTTGAGTTAGCAAATAAATGTTGTGAGTGTAAAATAAATGTCACAAAATGCATTGTTTTGTGATATAACTTTGTATTTTCGGAGAAGGCATGTCATATAAGTTCGGTATTTAAATTATACGCAAATAAATAATATTTGATCTAAATTTATCGCAAATAATGTTATAAACATTCAGTTCGCGAAATGATTGAATGTAAAATGAAGCATGGTAATAGGAATATCGTCAATAAGTCGACATCAATAATTATTATTATAAAAATGCTAACAAGGCAGTAATGTCGGATAATGCAGAAAACGCTGCAAAAACAAGTCTTCGTCGCGAGGAAATCGCAAGTATAATCAAATGAGAAAATACGCTCGTCGTTGGTTAATAAATTAGAAACCCGTAATTTTTATTCAGTACTCAGGTGGTTTTAAAAAACTATCGTTTCCATAAATATCCGTATACCAGTGTCGGTAATAATAAAGTAAAATTGATCTCATAAAAATGGGACGGTTAATCGAAAAACCAAAGCTAACACAAAAGATAAAAATCAAAATAAAATTAATTTGAATTCACTCCTTGATAGTTGTCTTAACATCTGCCGCCGGCGTGTAGTACTGCCAAGAATAGGAAAACCCAACTTCAATGTCCCATTCGGAAAAAAGTGGATTCAATTGGTTGTTACGATAGGTTTAAATGCGTGGAAAAATATCGCAATTACGGGGTCATTACGTAATTGATTTTGCCGTAATTACGGAATTGATTTTTGTCAATTACGTGCAAGCCTAATGAAGGTGTAACGAAAATTAAATAGTTTTCTCTATTTTCATACAAGTAATCAAGAAAATTATGGGTTCCGTTTTTTGGGTCGATGTATATATATATATAATTGGACACTAAATGTACTTATGGGTCGTTTTGCTAGATTAATGTTGTTAGAGTTCTACATTTCTGAAATATATACTTCCTAAAGTCGATTTTGAATACTCACTGATACTGTTGTCGTGTTCACGATAAAGGGATTTCGATTAGGGATTAACCTGCTTTATCAGATATTTCCCGCCGCGAGGCTTCAATGAACTGGGAAAGGTTTCAATACTGATAACTTTGGCTGCAGGAAGTCGTTGAAAATTGTACGATTTGTTATCGCACTAAAGATTACAAGGGTCAGAAAAATATATAAAAGTATTTTATAACTTTTATTTTTAGAAAAATAGTGAGGTTGCCTCAGAGAACTGTAATCGATCACAATTTTGGGCGTTTCAAGATTCTTGTTGCGTGCATTTGATATACTAGTTGCAGTGTAGTTCATGGTGAGGCATCGTATAATTGTGATTAGGAAGTGAACTCCTTGGCTCAAAGCGCCATATTCTAAACTAAGATATTTTAATATGATGAGGCCGGGTTATCGATTGTTTGCGTTTGTGAGCTCTCATTGGAATCCGCTTTCTAGCGAAAAGGAAATTATCCAAGTCTGACATCAATTGACTTCAACTATTGTTTACGTTTGAGCTTCCAACGCCTTTGTCATCGCGACATATAATTGTGTGATTTAGAATATAATGGTGAGTTGGGACGAGGTAGAGGCGAGTCTGTCTGTTAAGTTCACATGGCACACGCCGTCTGGCAAGTAATATTTTATCTGTTTTGTCTGAAGTAAATTTCAAGTACATATTACAGTTACAGAAATTTTTAATTTGAGGTTAAGTAGACGTAATCCGTTCCCCATAGTGCAGTGCGTTTTAGGTAAAGCATATTTCGTTATCGCACTTGAACGTAGAAAATGTAACATTTTATGACTCCAAATTTAATCGGTGATCACGTGAGAATATGATATATTTGAGGTTGCAGCTGAAAATGTTGTTAAAAGTTTTTATTTGGTCCTGAATTTAAAATCTGCGGATTTTAATTTTAGTTTAGGATTATAATATATATTATAGATATGAATGAACATACATGCGAAATATGCTCAAAGAAATTCACAGTGAGAGGCCGATTGCTGAGGCACCAGCAGTCTGTACACAATAAACTAAGACACAAATGTCGTGAATGTGGGAAACTATTTACAAGGTCTGACGCTCTGAAGAGGCATTGTATAAGATTTCACAGATGTCCAAAAAGATGGTCTTTTCCCCAATCTTTCGAGGACAAAATCACAAATTTAACAGCTTCCAGCGAGAACGCCTCGATAGCCATAGAGACTAAAGTTGACGAAAGAATCTCTCCGCCCGCGTTGATAACTATTGACTCGCAAATAAATAATTTTCCGGGAAGAGTAAAACGAGAAACAATAGATAAACCTCTTGAGCAAACTATTACAGCCACGTGGGCTTCGAAACTTCATGACATAAGCTCAGAATCCAACAAGAAGAAACACTCAGAAAGTCAAATTCCCGAAAAACACTTTCCTCCGGAATCAGTGACAGAAACTCTTGAATCAGGTTCACGAAAAATAACTCAAGTAATCTACCGTGTTCCTCCATACACTCTAGCAATCTTAAAAGTAAGTATTACCTCTCCAACGTGTTAAGACGTTATTAACCAATAAATATAACTAATGCTTTACCTCTTGTCAGGTTTTGGAAATTTACGGAAGTACTGATGAATTCAAAAGCACCATACCGCACCTCAAGAAATATTTTGTAAGGGACAACTGGACGTCCATCAATTTCAGCGACATCAAAAAAGAAGACGACTCCACCAAACGGACATTATTACGCGACATCAAACACTTTCTAATACATCTCATTAAGAACAAATACGATTATTTGGAGAAAATAGTTCCCGCAGTATTTTGGTTCGAAGAGTTTTTGAAACTCCGAGACGAGTTGTATTAAATGTTTCCATCATTAAACTACTTGGATTGAGTTGAATTGATTGTTGTTGAATTTGTTCTTTTTCGTTTGTGTGTTTCGTGTTTCTAATAAACTAAAAATATGAAAATTCTAGTTCAAATATTTGAAATACAGACCCAGTCAGACTTTGAAGATTGTTGTCTCATTTTAAAACACGTTTTATCAATTCGGAGATATATATGAGAGAGAGAGAGATTTTATTCTTTTTTCAACCAAAAAATACAGTCATCAATAAAATAGCAACAACAAATAAAATTGTTTCGGTAGGGACAGGAGGGAGCGATACGACCATACCGTCGTCGTAGTCAGCTCCCACCATATACGCTGATGTGATTAAAATTAAAACTGATAGATGAATAGTGGCAAAACTTGAACTATTACGATAATATTTTTACAAAATGTTTCTGAATAAAATTAGGGGATTTTTAGGTAAATGCAATGGTTTGTAGGTGTGTTTTTAAAGAAAAAAAGAAGAAAAACAAAAAAGGGGGAGGCTCGTTAAAAAAAAAATTTAAAGCGGCAAAATAATGTGATGGAAATTTGTACTTAACTGAAAACTAAATTACTAAATTCGATAGGGTTTGGGCGATATTATTGAGAAAATAAATTGGCTATATGTACACAGTGGATCAGGAAAAAAAAATTCAATGTGACGATAAGGTGTCTGATCGGGAAAAATAATAAAGTGCAACTCAGTGGTACATACACAGTATTGAAAAAAATAACACACTGGATAGGGCAAGAGGAATTTTATTTATAGGTTTGTCATAATTTGTAAAATGTAAATAAAATTCCATGAACTTCATATTGATATGTTCAGAAATTTTAAAAACTTATTCCAATACTGTTAATAGATATAAGTATACTTATCAATAAGTTTTAGCAGATGGGTTCTGAAAACGTTTCTGACTTAAACAAGAGGGTCAGGTCAATCAATACCGAAATTTTAATAATTCACTTCTTGGGAATCGTGTCTACAAAGCAAAGCGAGTACCTTGTTTGGTACTTTTCTTCCTCGAAGACCTGCTTGTTTACTTCATTATTCACACCAAATACCCAAATCACATTCAGTCAGTTACTCATGTTACAACCGTAGAGACATATAAAAAAAAATTCGTAACTACTTCAGTTAATTTGAACTGTTTACTGTTATGACTTTCATAATCTTCATGGACATATAATGGTATTTTAAAATAGACTTTTAGTATGTTTCGTGATTTTTGTGTGATTATTCCCGCCATATATCTACATCCAAATGCCTGTTCCTGTTATTACATATATATTTATCAAGTAATTTTCGCAGAACTGTGCGTTCTGTTCGACGAACTCAAACGGTACTGTGCGATCATTGGCGACGGACGCTGAGCGCAATTACAGGAATTAAATTGGAACCTAAATTTCCAAATTATTTCCATTCTGGTTGCTATCTTACGTGTCAGCTTTGATCGCCTTATCGCCAACGTAAAATAAAAAGTCAACAATATTTTTTCCACTGGCTCCGGGACTCCGTTGTCCATTAATGTTCTTATTTATGTTTATGTTATGTTTGCGTAAAATAAAAATTTTCAAAATGTCGTCACTGCGTATCCGTCAATAATTCTAATAAAATTGACTTAATGAATGGCATTTTTTACATATACAAATTAGTATATATATATATGTCCAGAAATCTTTACAATGCTACTTCATTAAATACTTGTATTAATATTTCAAATTTTACGAAACGGCTCACTAAAACTTGATATTCCCGCGACATTTGCGCTAATTACGCTTATTTAAACATTGAGACAATATCATAGCCACTGAAAATGAATAAATAAAAAAACATTTTACCACAAATATAACACGCAATTTTGATGTCTTCGTTTCTTAGTGAAAACTGTGTGCAGATTCTCGTGTGGTCGTCAGAAATTCAGGTGTGCTTTGTGTAATGATCGATTCTTTGATCCAGCGGCGCGCGAATGCCATGTCCACGCCCCATGTTACCAGATATTCCCATAGTGAACTGTTATTTTATATTCGACTTGATATTCAAATATTTTGCTAGCCCTGCTCGGAAACCAGTAAATAGTTATAACTATAGTAACTTGATTGATTTTATGTTAAAAAACTTGCATTTTATGGACAGGCCTGCCGTAGAGCATGATGTCATTCAATACCTTTGCATTTCGTATTTCATTAAGTGGAATATTATGCTCATATTTCATGCCGCTGACTAGATAATATAATAATGTATAAACATGTTTCCACCCATTTCAGCGTGGTGATGACATATAGTTGATCTGGTCATTGAGCTTAACTGTCATATTTAATACCACACGCTGATCCTAAGCATTCATTCAGTCATTACGTGTTGGCTGTTTGATTAGACAGTGAATGTTCGCGACTGGGTTATACATAGTGCGATGGATGGTCATGTTGTTTGCGAACTAAAAGCAAAATACTTATATATTATTAAACAGGTAATATATATTTGTGTTATATTTATTGAATGATAATGCATGCTAAAATAAAACACACTTTCTGGAACACAGAATAGTTCGTTGTGATATACGTGAAATAAACAAAACCGTATTTGGATGCAAAAGAATCTTCAACTCATTCGTATAAAAGAAATCATATCGGTATAACAGTTATATAAGTTGAATTAAAAAAATGCAGAATTGCCGCAATAATAACACGATCTAAATTGTGACAGCAATACCCTATGATAGTTGCGGACCAATGACATGCGAAGAAGTTTCATTCTGGAGAAGGACAAGACAGAACATCCGTTGAAAAATCAATATCAAGCGTGCGAATGTTTGAATATTTCATGATTGTTTTTCTTCGCATTGAAGCATGGGTGACCGCAGATAAAACTTAAGTCCGTGATAATGAATCAAGATAAGTCATAAGATATAGACTTTATACAATATCATGACAGTCATTTGAGAGTCTCAAAGAAATAAAAAAGAAGTTTTACTTTACGACAAGTCAACGAGTTCGACTTTGAGCTTTGATCCATCAAAGATGTAATGGACTTTAGCAACGGATTTCAAAGACATTCTAATCCGAGCCACCCATAGATCCACAAGGATATATTTATTGGGTGATATGGAAAGACGAGTGCTTGAGAAGCAGTGAATCGGTGATGGGTCGGACACATTCCCGATATTTATTGATGCTTCATCAGTCACTAGGATTTGCACGTTTGTTGCTTTGGTCGTCTTAGACATCAAATCCTGTGTAAAAGACATAATTGATATTGCTCGTACGACAAATTATGATTCTTGCGTGTATTTCGTTGGCAATTTATTTGTCTATAATGAAGTCTATAATATTTATTAATTATGGTATTTGAACCCTAATAAATTTTATTTTAACATCAATGTGATCGGAAAATGAAAATAACTGTAACTTCGAAAGAAATATAGTAGAATAGAGCGAATTCATTGTTCAAATGGGCAAAACTTATTTTTGATTAATATATTTGCATTCTCTGCAATTGGAAGCTCACTTTAAACTTTTTTTTTGCAATAATAAAGTCAATAACACTGTAATCGAAGGCGTGACCCCAGAAATATGAGTAAATAAATAAGAAACGCGTAATACATTTCAATAGCAAGAACTGTATTCAATCGAATATAAAAATAATTTCAGAATTTCCCGATTCGTATTCTCCAAATCACAAATAATAAACAATGACTTCTTTAAATATGAAATACTCAATCACCTCCAGATGAAGTTTATACACTCTTCCCATCTTGTGATTTTCTTGATTCCACTTAATTGAAATTCCTGACTGGAAGCAAGAAATCTGAGAAACTCCTGATTTCAAGATAAATACCATACATTAATTACAAATCGTGAAACGCGTTTGTGCACATTGTATTTTCTCTGTGCATTGTTTTATTGACTTCATGCAATATTAAACACCTAGGTTATCGAGTTATGGTCGAATTTAAGAATAGAAATAAAAACACGGAAGTTCTGTGAATGAAAATTACTTTATACTATTCCCGTTTTTTGGGGGGGAATCAATCTAATTATTTTTAAGCATGAGGCAAAGGTTATTCTGGTGCGTCAGTATTTCCTCACTACTATTTTATCATCCCTATTCCAACTATTTATTAAATTCTTGCAATTTTTTTAAGATTGAGGATTCCATTAAGATTTGAGATTGGGACCATAATAACACCTAGAACCAATGTAATGATGGCGGACGATAGTTATAATTTAATGTTTCAGACTTGATATTCTGAAATCATTTACAAAAATAATGATGAAACTTACTATTTTCACAATTTTCTCCCGTATAACCCCACATGCAGTCGCATTTTTTTTGACAACCAATTTGTGTGCAAGTTCCCGAATTATGACATGGAAATAGCAAACATCTGTCAACCGCTGTGAAAATTTAAATCATTACCAATACTAGAACGTTATAATATATACATGCACTCATATATTAGAATAATACATTTGAAGATAATCGAATATAAAAAAATATCAACAAACTAATGTTAAAGGTGTCAGGAAATCCGCGCTATGTGTATGTATAGATTTGTGATATTAAATGTTGGTCTTAAGCACAAAGCAGTTATGATTTGGAAATAGGTTTACTCTTGTACTATTTTTTAAAATTATACCTGATATTTCACCTATGTATCCGCGCTTCCTATAGTTTGGTTTAGCAAACCACATCATGTTTTCTCTATCGCTGCCATGCGGACTAAGAATCATACTGCCCGTGGAAGTGTGGTGGTTTGTTGGCCATTTTGAATCTTTTCCTGTTGTTGGTACGTCTGTACCATCAACCCATATCCATGAATTACTAACTTTAAATCCACCAATCCAAAACTCAAGTGCTTCTCCTGTGGCTCCATATTGCTTTATTATCTGACTTTCAACCAAGTCTTGTATTTCTGTTGTTTTCATCATTGCTATCGCTCCTCCAAGACTGCTACAAGTTAAATTCGTCTCGACGAATGATTTTTTATCATAAAGGTTGACGTGATATTTGCAGTTGTTCGTTGTATCATGGAATAATCTTATATCTGCATAAAATGACAACTTTTATGGATTTTCAAAAGTTTTGTATTCATTCGCAAATGTTCATTGAATTAACTGACGTAATTCACACTAAAAAACGTCGTGTCCATAGATTCCCAGCCTTCAAAATGCCGACTTTCTAAGATGACAAACATCGCTATTGGCTATTGATATGATCATATAAGGCGTGTATTCAAGCTTGTAATCGCACCTTGTTTAAATTCACAGATTCGAATCACGTGAGGGATGAATATGAGCAAGAGGATTGATTGCTGAATTCCTCACCGCTTTTGGGTAATTTACGAAAGCTCCGTTAAGTTACGGATTCCTCAACCATCAAGCACATGCGTCTGATACAATTAATTATTTTCGAAACCGATATGGACCGATAAATAGACAAGGGAATGGGGTTTGCCATATGATTAATTCATTTTATCGCCTTTCCGCTCCTCCTTGATAAATATGGAATCGTATATTCATATGGCATAAGAATACTTTGATGACAACATTGTGTCCTCTGACGCCCAATATGCCAAAGCGCGTTTTAGTATTTCTGCGAGCGATATTAATTGTTTGATTTCAATCTAGAATTACGACAGACGTTTTATTTAAGTCCTGTAAATAGCAGAGTTATGGGTTTGCTAATTCGTTGAAAATGATTTCTTATTAATTTTCTTCATTGTAGTCTCGAATTTACCCGAGAAGTGTTTTCGATGTTCGTAGAGCAGCAAATGGCTGTATTATTTATTCCTATGTATCAAATACCTTTTCTCTGATATCTCGAAAAACCATTGACTCATAAAATCTTATGGCTTTGGTGTGGGTACTAACTTGACGATAATGCTACGCGATAAGAGTGAAAATGGGAGCAAAAAATATTTCTACATTTTTGAGAGTATTATTCCAGCGCTGTCGCTGAAGCGCACTATTTTGCCGTGTAGTTTTGCGCCGATGCGAGGGGTAATTTCAATGAAAAATACAAAAAAAAGGTGCTCCAGAAGTATGCGCACCAAGATGTCGCACAACCTGAATCCTAACCGGTACACACGTACTAAGTTCAGGTTGTGCGTCATCTTGGTGCGCATACTTCTGGAGGTCCAAAAAAAATGATTTAAAACAAGCCCTTGTTGTAAAGCAGGCTGTTGTTTATAATTGATATTGCAAGACCATAGACTTAGAGATCAATTAATCATCCAAATATTATGGTTGATGCAAACGAATGCGTCGGGACTATAATTACAGTAAATAGCCAATATATCTTGTATGAATCGTCTCAACTCTACAGGAGAATCTTTTTTTCTATTTGGATTCGGTAGAATTGACAATATATATTACTTACTTTTACACTGAGTTCCTCGATATTCTGGCTGACAAACGCATGTGTAATACGGCTCTTTAGTCGAGAGTTCACAAGTTCCTCCATTTGTGCAAGGTGACGAATCGCACACGTCTAAAAATATTAAGCGGTGTGAAAAATTGAATTTTATCCTGGATCAAGAAAGAGAACCCAATTCGTTTGTAAAAACACTAATATACTTTCACCTATTTATTCTGTAAAACGAACCCCAGTTATTTTTTGGTTTATGAGGGAACTAATTACAACAAAAATATCGTTTCTTATGTCGGCCTGTCTCAGAACTTTACATATTGAATAAATTTCAATAAAATCTATTTTCCTCAACATCAGGTGATGATTTGTAGCCAACAAAACTGAGACAGAACTAGTTACAACCAAAATGTATAAAAATTGATATTTGAAACGTTAAATGTGCAAATTACTCGTAAAATGTGCAAATTCTGAAATCATTTAAAAAAAAATAAAGACGAAACTTACTATTTTCACAATTTTCTCCCATATAACCCCCCATGCATTGGCATTTTCTTTGACAACCAATTGATGTGCAAGTTCCCGAATTAAGACATGGAAATAGCAAACATCTGTCAACCACTAAAAAAATAACGAGATTAGAAAGGTAAAACGTTATTTAATATACACCTATCAGAATATTACATTTAAAGATATAAAAATCGTTTCCTTTTTTGATTAGGTCATAACATTTTCTCATCACACACACATATGAAAGTAAAACCAATAAACTAACCGAAGCAGTGAATGAAATTCAGATTTTATTTTTTATAATATTTTAAAGTACACCGGGCGCTGATAATCTGAATAAAGATTATACTGTATTTACTAATTTGTGGCACAGTGGACAACTGATATATATTTCATCCGTTGCATATTAAATAAATTATATATATTAGAAAATACTTGATTGATAAATCAAACTAAATGCTGTTTTGAATAAACAACACAATTTATTCAAACCAAAACACGGACTAGCCAGTTAAAATACCACCACAATGTTATGGTTATGCAATACTTTTCACGTAACTCAGGGACGCATATGTCATCGATTGCGATTTTCACGATTACTCCACTATTTCACACACGCATTATATTTATCATATGGGTAGATTGATTTAAAATAGAAAAAATCATTCTGTGCTAATTTAATAGGGAACACACTTTTGTTTATTTATACGTGAATGATAAATGATTCCTAAAATTTCCACAAATCACAGAGAATTAATCAGGAACAGGATGTGCTGGTGACAAAACGTATGCAGTTTAATCTCACACCCTAAGTTGATTAAAACAAAATATTACTTGCTTTTTTTATGTTTTCATGTTCATTAATAAAAAAAAGATTTGTAAAAATGGTGGAATATTGAAATTTTTTTATTTGTTACATAATTAGTACTTTCCAACCAGAGAGTCGCGAAGCTATCCGAGGTGGGTTGAGAAGTATTTCCAAATATTACGTACAGTTTTCGATTAGATCGGGTAATTGTGGTCTTATCACTACGCCATTACAATTAGAATTATGCGTTAATATTTTTAGTACGCCCTACATATGTTGGAAACTGTAGGTAGCTACTAGGCAGATTAGTAATTTATGGAATTCAGGTAGACGTAGTAATGACGCCTGTCATGTAATTAATAATCTTATGTCCAATGAGTTGCATTTTCAAATGCTGGCTAAACAGGGTTAAAATACTTTATTTTAAATCGTAACTTTGTTTGATTCTTGCAAGCCGAAAAAAATAAATTTTTAAAAAGAAAAGGTTGCGAAGAAAGAAAAAAATGAAAGCTTGGAAAGTTGTAATGAGAAAATATGACTCTGATTATATCAAACGCGGTTTTTCATTGAGACAGGGAATTACTTTTAGCCAAAAGCACAATGTGTTGAGTGTGATGCTACGTTGCGTGTGAGCTTGTCTCCTAACAAGCCTAATCATATAGTATGCATGCTCAAGTTCCCCATTAATATTAGATTGCTTGTGGATACATTGCTCACAACTCATTGGAGGTCGCCACAAAAAATTGTAATAAAAGTGGGTCGTGACTCGTGAACTGAAAAAAGTTGGGATGCACTGACATAAAGTAATATATGAACTGAAAGAGCATCATGTGAGAGCGATGTGTTGGGACAAAATTATACCTGATATTTCACATATGTAGCCTTTCTTCTTTAGGTTGTTTGGTACAGCATGCATTTCATATTTTCTCTAGTGGTGCGGAACGAAGTAATAAACATCATATAGCCATTGGAACTGTGTTGGTTACAGCCCATTTTGAATTTTCCTGTTGTTGGAACGTCTGTACCATCAGCCCATGTCCATACTATTTTTATCTTTGTATCCACCAATCCAAAATCCAATTTCTCCTCCTGTGGCTCCATACTGCTTTATTGCCTGACTTTCAACCAAGTTCTGAATTTTTACTGTTTTCATCATTGCTCTCGCTCCTCCAAGACTTCTAACATGTTGATTTTTGTATCGGTGAATAATTTTTTATCACGAAGGTTGACGTGATATTTGCAGTTGTTTGTGGTGCTGATGATGAATGTTATTTCTGCAGAAAATGAAATAGGATGACAGCTTTTATTAATTTTAATAACAAATGTATGTTTAAGATTTTTTTTTGAAATTATCTAATTTAAAACAGTTTCATTTTCATTTAGAAGTGTTCAGTATATTTTCTGTGGTCCATTAATTCTTCGCCTTACTTAAAAATATTTTAGTTAAAGTGACATGTTGTCTCATTGTCTTGCCGAACCAAACGCAAACCAGCACGTTTAGGAGATCAACCAAAAAATTAAAATAAGCGAAGAAAAATTACGCTAATATTCATAGCCCACACTTTTTTTTATTACATTTTTCAATTTTGTAAATAGCATAGAGTTAATGGTTCGCTAATTTGTTGAAAGTATCTGGTTTTTCGTTGTTATGGGGCGGTATGTAATTGTAATCTTAAATGTTAACGCGATAAAGGTTTTTGATTTCGGTAAGGCACAAATTTTTTTTTTCCACGTTACTTCATTGTTAAATTGTTTTTCTATTCTAAAATTCTGCGTCGATTGTGTGATAGTATTAAGAGTTATAGCGTGATTTTTTGAAATCAAAGTACAAAAAGATAAACTGATGGCTGGTATTTGTATCTCAGTGTATCCTAACATCTCCGAATCAGCTACATTTTCTGGAAGAACATAATAAAGGTTCTGTAGGGATTTGTAAAAAAAGTTTCAAATCTATTTTTTTACCTGTTTTGTTTGAAATGGCTGTATTGTTTGTTTCTTTTGTATTAAATATCTTTTCTCTGATATCTCGAATAACCATTGTCTCATAAAATCTTAGGTATTAACGTGATAATGCTACGCGATAAGAAAGAAATTTGTGTCTACATTGTAGAGGGTATTATTCCAGCGCAGTTGTTGAGGCGCACTATTCTGCCGTGTAGTTTCACGTCGATTCGAGGGATATTTCAATTAAAAATACGAAAATAAATTGATTTAAAACAAGCCCTTGTTGTAAAGCAGGCTGTTTTTTTAGAATTGATACGACAAAACCCTAGATTTATGTTAATTAATCATCAAAATATTATGGTTGATGCAGAAGAATGCTTCGAGACTATAAATACAGTAAAATACTCAAAATATCTTGTATAAATCGTCTCAACTCTACAGGTAGATTAGTTCTGTAGTAGTGTATTGGTAGTTCTGGTAGATTCGACAATATATATTACGCACCTTCACACTGAGTTCCCTGATATTCTGGATGACAAACGCACGTATAATACGGCTCCTCATTCGAATTTTGACAAGTTCCCCCATTTTTGCAAGGTGACGAATCACACGTGTCTAAAAAATTGAGCAAATTGATAAATGAAATTTAATCTCAGATCAATAACGGGGACAATTGCGAAATAGTATATTAGTGGGAGAGCAATTGTGAGATATCAGTGACACGTTAATGCTGAATGTGAATCTACTGATGCTGTGTAGATATCAGCAGATATGAATGGGACGATGACTTGAAGAACTACAAGGAAACACGTTGATTGGTTTGCTGACATGCATAACACAATTTATATTACAATATAAAGGCGGAAATCTGATATTCATCTAATGAAATTTTAGAAAAGTTCAGATTGTCGTCATAATCGGAGGAAACGTAGCAACAATAAACATAATATAACAAGATATAAAATGATAATATGAATTTTACTTACTATTCATAGATTCTCCTTTCACAGAAATGACCAAAGCAATCGAAATGATCAAGCCAAGCCCCATAGTAGTAACAACTCGTTTTTATATAACACTAATATACTTTCACTTTATTTTTCCTGTAAAATAAAACCTCAGTAATATTTCAATCTGATCAATTCTCAATTTGATCCCGTCATGTAGCATTTAAATTGCCTATCACAATGCATTTGGTACTTACTAAACGTTACGTTTGTTTGTTTGCTTCCACACGCTGAAAATTTAGCTCCCTCATCAGTCATATAAGTTTGTGCACTAAGTGCATTCATCGAATTTGTAATGAATCATGTTCGTTGCAATTTGATCCGTCCGTGAATCACCTGGAAATGATCATCAGAACACAATCGGTGCAAACTAAACCTTGACATACATTAGTGTAGCCTACTTCCGCGTGTGAAATAACAATTTTATAAATAGCATGATATGGATCGTATGATGGAGCTTTGGATAATGTTTCCGGGTAACAATATTTGGTAAAGCAACTACGAGTATATTTGTGGCCTGTTCACCTATATATATTTGTGTCTTAGCTGGGTAAAATATGTCTAAATGAGACATGGACCCAACTCGACCTGAGATCGTTGGTCGATCTATTTTCAGCCTGCCATGAGGAACAGTAATGCAGTCAAATTAAATAATTTTGTTCGAACTATTTGAAAATCCGAACCGTGCCTTCGATATACTTTCCATTCTAAAACATTTTTGTATTTTTTTAAATACTTTTTTTCATCGTTATATATATTTTTTTTGTAGATGTCGATGACTGAGTGACCCATTGCTCACCAACTGCTATGAGCCAATAAATTCCGTTTTCAATTTTATAATGCGTTTTGCTCTATGTTGATTCTCACATTCTGGAAATATTTATTGTCATCTCTTCTCCACATAGTATTATTGGGCTCAATGGGCTGTCATATATATGGGAAGAAGTTTTGGATTCTAGAAAAGCTACACAAATTGCGCAATACCAATCAAATCAGAATAGTTATTGAAAGCACATTTTTCGCAATATTTATGAGCCTCTAGCTAGGCCACAGAAACACTTTCAGGTGGTCACATACCTATTGAATTATCGACAAATTAGTTACACTTTGATTGTTGTAGCAATGAATGATACTGCTGCCTTTTGGCTCTGAGTGGTAATTCTAATTTCAACTAATGAGATGGAAGTGTCCTTCTTTGCGAAAAGATTTTTTTGCTTTTCTTGTAGTTTCTCCTCGCCTTGAGAAATTATGGGCCACAATATTTTTGGCCCACGAAAGAAGAAGGGTGGGGAACCACTAAACTGGAGTCTAGATATTATTATGGAAGTAGTATTCCATGTTTGTGCCATTTTGCATATTTGATCACCCAGGCGATTGAAAACATATTTCGACCACTTCTTCGTCCGCCAGACTCAATATTATCTTCTCTGTATCTGTGTATGCTACTCTTGCTTTTTAAGCGTCAAGTCTTAATAAATGACAAATTCAGAATTTTGGGTTTACTGATTTAACAGCAACAGTTACAAAATCCAAATATGAACTTGGCGACTTGTTTGGTCGGAAAACGGCACATGGTCTGGCGCATCGGACTAGCCGTGGAGCAAAGTCACTTTTTCGTGAAGCCTCTGTTGCAAATGGCCCCCTCCCCCATGATTACCCTGTGCGGGTTCGCAGGTTTGAATTCCATGTGGTATAATCATGCCTACGTTTATAGTTTCAACGAATTAGTAGGTTAAACCAATGAGCATATATACGATGAGTGGAAACTTCCAAATATTTGCACATTAATCCATGTGCCCTGCATTTTTACGTCGTCCAGCTAAATGGTTCGTTGCATATGGAGAAAGCATATTGTTCGCTGCAAAAATCCCTTGTTTCAGCTGGGCTGGGTGCGAAATTGGCCGTATTGAGGCTTTTAATTTTTCGATTCGTGTTCGGTTTTGGGTTTCGAAGTATGGTACGTTGAAAGCATACTAACTAGGAGCATATGCATATTGGGAATGCATATCTATTAGGCAGAAAACGTAGCTACAGAACAGAATATGAATCAGTCGCCACGTGGGGTGCGGTTATTGCTGTATTTATTCATTGATATAACATAGGACTTACATATTTATCCAGAGAGAGAGGAAAGCTTGAATATATATGGCGAACCCCGGCCTCTCCAAATAGCTCTGTGCTCCATATAAACCCCCAGACTGCCAGGACTTTGTAAGCTATTCATTTACTTATTAAAAATACTGATTTCAACTTTAAATTACTCTGGGATATCTTGCCATTGAAATTTAAAATTTGCCGTTTTCATGTCTTGTGAATTTACAAAAATTTTTTTTATTATATTATTTAGAGCAGGGCTTCCCAAACTTTAAAGCTCGCGGCCCCTTTTAATATATTAAAATTATCCGCGGCCCTTGATCGCGCTAATAATGCTAAACAGTTCGAAATATGCATTTTTGATGTTTTATTGACACAGCTAATTCTCAAGTTTTAGTAGGCCTACTCAATTACAAAAACAAGCACATATTTATTCAGACTAACGTTACTCAATTATTCAGTGTAATGGGTGCAAATACTTTTTGCTGCATAGCAAGTCCAGCCTTGGCTCAATGTTTGTTTATGCAGGCCTAAATGATGAATTACGATGTCTGGCCACCGACGGCATGGTTCTTTTCCGGAATTGTTCACACTTATTGATTAAACTTAGCATAAGACAGCGGTTTGTGTGGCGCCAAATTATCATGGAAAAAACTCATGGCACACCTACACGAAATATATGCTGCCTGATAGTAAAACACAAATTTGTCATCGTTAATATGTACTTATCTTATCACTGCCTGGTTTTTCTTCAAAATGCTAAAAAATCACTCATGTTCAGCAAATGAATAAACTGCAGCCTACGAAATTGCAGCATGTAGGATACCCGACGTAACAGAGCGTACACAACATAGATCAGCAAAATGAAATTGATTCGTATACACATCATTTGCAACAATGAGAAACAATAAAACATTTAGAATAAATAAACTATGTAACATATTTCGAGGCGCACTTAGCAAATCGCCTTCGGGAACCGCTAGCTTAACGATTATTAAAGCCGGCATTGTTATGCAAGCACACGCAAATCGGGTCTTACGATCAGAATATGCATTGTTATGCAAGCGCGGTGATTCTACTGTGTTTGCCCGAAAATAAAACCAAGCCTGAATTTTAGAAATTGTTTTAATATAAGCGCTCCCCTTTAAAAAAGATTTAGTCGATAGCGCATTTTTTGACCTAATCCCGTGGAAGTGCGTCGTTTTAATTTTGCTAGGACGTCGCAAAATTTCGTGATTCATGAACCTTCCAAACAACCCATATTTTCCACTTTTAGGGAAGATTATATCGATTTAACCTGTGATGGTGTTACAATAAAAAAGTTTTATTCTCAAAATTCGGTTTTCTGTAGATAAAGATTATTTTTCTTTGTTCAAAAAGCGTTGCGGGCTCCTACCCCTTTTGCGATTTCGTTTTTATATAAAGCAGACTTTTCCACCAAAGCCCATTAAATATGATTTCACTGACTGTCTTTATGTTTTGTATGTTCCTTTATATGAAACTCATTGCAAAAAAAGTCTTTTATTGAAAAGTATCAATTCGTATTTTCACGGGTAGTCGTAACTTGAGCATATTTTTGGATGGCTTCACAATACAATGAAGTTCGAGAACCACTGAGTCCTAGTCGATAGCTAAAAATTTCTACTCAGAAAATTTCTACTCTTTCTACTTTTTAAATGGTTAATAATCTATATGTAGCAGTTATTTTAAATGAAGACGTGCTACTTATAATTAATGGAAATCGGTATTCATATTTGGCATAATAAAAAATCTCGTTATTCTCTACATCCCCCCAAAATAAGCCCTAGTGGTATTTTCGAAATAAAATTGAAGACATAGTCTTATTTACACAGTATGATGAGGTGGTGTTCATTAGGAATCGTGAAATTTTTTTTTTACAATATTTGTAATAATTGTATTTCAAATCAAGAGTATGGAAAACGTGTGTGTGTGTGTGTGTGTGTGTCGGGGGGGGGGGGGGGGGGGGGGCGGTGGTTTTAAAACAGTGCACCAAAAGTTCAATTCATGACGGCGTAAGGCGGGTAATAAATTAAAAACAATGTGTCGTTCACAGCGAAATTCCACAGTTACGTGTAGCTCGCCTCTGACGGTTTTGGTGAATATATACAAAAACACGCTCGCGTGTAGCGCCGATCGAATACATGGAATGTGAAACTTTTACTTGGAGTTTAATGCTAATAAAGTTGTTTTTTTATTGTCATTCAATGATTATTTACATGCGTCGTGATTAGCGGTTGGAAAAATCGTATTTATTTTGGATAAAATTATTCGAATATTTTAACGAATATCGGCGAAGATGTTAAAGACAACTATTAAGGAATGCATTCACAACAAAAATTAATTTTATTCTGATTTCTATCTTTTGTGTAGGATTTGTATCACAGTTACGGTCCCAATTTTGAGCGAACAATATTATCCTTACTGACCCCGGGATGCGATATTTGTGAAGCTGATAGTTGACATTTTTATGTTTTAATTTTATATCGTTTCCGTGTTACTTTCGTATCAAATAATAATTAAAAAACTCCGCAAATTTTTGAGTATTCACGTAACTCAGATTTGGTTTCAAACACTGATACTTAACACGTGAATAAATCAGCAATAATGGCATTTCTACGTGGTCAAAATATTATTTCCTCACAATATCTCGGGAATTTGCATAGAATACCTTATTCACATGCCTTGCTTATCTGATTCAACGTTTTTAAAATTTACCAAAACGATGTTGACGCGATTTACGCAAAATTAGAAATTGAAAAATATGATGGCGCAAAAATGGAACAAAACAAAAAATTTTCACATTCATCGTTTCTGCTTGTTGGCGATTGCCGTTGGTAAATTTTTCGTAACTCGTTGTAAATTTATGTTAATAAATTCTATTTTGCTTTTAATGCGCCCTGTATTTGTGTTAAAATAAAAGAGAATGTCCTTAAATTAGCTTATAACCTTTCTTTCATTTTGAACGCCCTAAACGACGGTTACATGCGCGTTACTGAATAACAATTTATTTATCATTATTAGCGCCAACTAAAAGAGATAACATGTCGTAAAGATAAAAAAAGTCTGATGTTAATTACGCTGTTAATTGTGTTAATTGCGCTGCAGTGATAATACACAGAATAATATCGTTTTGACGAAACCATAATGCGCGACCGTAAAACGACGTTGCTGCTTTTTTTGTGGAAGAAGTTTCGCATGAAAAAGTTTCTCAAACGGAATGCGACCCATGTAAAGGGGGACGTGGGGGCATTGTATTCATTGATATAGGATGGGCTTAACATATTTACCCGGGTGGAGAGGAAAGCCGATTCCCTGCTATTCTTCAAATTTTTGTCTTCGTTTTTAATGTCAAGATATCCCAGACTGACAGAGTAATTTAAAATACGGGAGCCCTGGGGATTCGTATGTAGCACCTTATAAACTATGATTGTGAGATGCCGTGTTTCGCCATACATTTAGGCCTTCGTATCGCAATTGCTTTCCCCTGGATAAATATGTACCTAAATCCCATGCTATAATTAGAAATAACCGCACTTGACTTCATATTCTGTGCTATAGCTACGTTTTCTGCCTAATATATATACATTCCCAATAAGCATATTCTCATAGTTAGTATGCTTTCAACGTACCATACTTCGAAACCCAAAACCGAACTCGAATCGAAAAATTAGAAGCCTCAATACGCCCAATTTCTCGGCTGAAGCAAAGGATTTTTGCAGCGAGCGATATGTTTTCTCCATATGCAACGAACCATTTAGCTGGACGACGTAAAAAATGCAGGTCACAATGGATTAATGAGCAAATATTTGGAAGTTTCCACTCATTGTATATATGCTCATTGGTTAAACATTCGGGAAATGAAACTGACGAGTCCGCTTACGATGTGGTGGTAGGAAATGCTCAGTTGACAAACCCGCGCAATATTAAACCTTTCCGGATACAACCAGCCAGGCCGCAAGGGAGCAACAAAGTAATATAAAAAATAGGAAAAATAATTGATTTGCCCTCGTATACGGTACCGCCAGCCTCGTCACGGCACGCTACAGACCATTGTGATATTGTCAAAAAATTTAGTCAAGATGATTTTCTAGTCTGCTAGTGGAATCTAATGTTTTTTGTTTACCTCAATCACCTCGAATGTGCGGAATTGAAGCCATGTCTGCATGTGGCATATGACTGTATGAGGCAATTGAGGTGCTGCGGGTTTTTGCGCATGTCTGCAAGTGTCAAGTTGTTCAGCAGCAAAATTGTGTAATGAATATTGATCATATTTTTAGACCAGCCAGTGATGATAGCTGATAGAAAACTGACAAATGATATTTCTGTATTTCAGGCATGGACTTTGCATGCCTTTCTGCCTTTTGCACCAGCCTACATTATTATTGTACACTCAAGTCTGCAAGTCGCGTTCAATCACGGTCAACGTGTACCTCATTCTGCTGTTTCAGTTTTAGAAAGCCACTTGTGTAAAATGGAGTTTTGGCATGCTCCGTTTGCTCTGGAATAACAACAGTGGTTCCAGAATGTGAATTTTTATTATCTGTTCCTGTATTTAAACATTTTGGGTTAGTTTATCTGATTTATTGACCTCAGTCTGTCAGTGATATTCCATTGTAGTGTTAGAATCCAATTCTGTTCGACTGTGGGGTCAATATGAGCCATAAAGACCAATTCATATTGAAGCAAGAACTTTGGTAGGAATGATTAATCCATGGCTCATATTTAGCAACCAAAGAGGGATATTTCCCCAACTGCCGCATTACTCACCCAGTAAATCGAGTTCCTGCTGTCCTCGTTTGAAAGCAACATAGTCTACAGCCTAAATAATGAAATACATAGGAATAACAACTATGACTTGATATTAAATCAATTTAATTTAGGTCGCTCTGCAGCTCTGGAAAAACAAAAACACATAAGTTACTGACATTGGACTCAGTGTTCAAATTTCACGATGCCCCTACATTTGCTTTAATAAAACAAATATTGTCTAAATGTCTCTGAAATGAGGGTGTTTGGCATGGTGGCTGATGCGTCAGATTGTGCTACGCTCGTCTCGATAGTAATTTAACTTAATCAAGGCACGTTTCTCTGCTAAAAATATTTGAATGTTATAGTAAAATTATTTTTCCTTCAGTAAATCATATTTCTGAAGAATCCAATGGTGATGTTTTTTGAATTGCGCCTCATTTTAGTTTATTGCGCAAAGCTGGTTTGCCGTTTTATGCCGATATGACTTTCTTGTATAATAGAGGGATCTGCACTCACTGTTATAATTGATGTCTTTCAATGTGGGTGCTATTCAAGGAATCGAAGAAATGTGCCGTACTTTACATATGTACACCTTTGTTGACTACTACTTTAATTTCACTTTCTAACTAAGTGTACGAACAGCAGATCTTCAATGATTAATACAACAATAACTGAATAAATAAACTTCTCTAAAACAAAGTTTTATTTTATCTTTGTGTTTAGTACCTATATTCTAACTACGGTACCAATATATTTTGCAAAATGGCTGAGGAAGCGCAACCCCTATCAGAGGCTGAAATAAAAGCTGCTGTTCACCTGCCTGATGCAAGCACTTCAGTGAGTTAAATGCCTATTAATGTATGTACATAATCCTCGTAACCATATTCGAAAGTTTTCTCCCCAGATAATCTAGGATGCTCCAGTCAATCAGGGCTACTGTTTACTCTGGTGTTGTGTCTAGGACAGTAGGGTGATTACGACATCATTTTGGGAGAACGACAACACTTTTTAAAGAGTATTTGTAACCTTGCCTAAAGTAATCATAAAACCTATCAACGCCTTGCAATGAAAGTATTTTATTGTTTACTGTGGTGATTTTTTTAAACCAAATACTGCAATTTTTCATAGGATTTCTTGATGCAGCAAACAATGTTGAGGGTAAAAGATCCGAAGAAGTCACTTGAATTTTATTCAAAAGTTCTTGGAATGAGGTGAAGTCACCCGTTGATAGTTATAACTAATTGAAGAATATCTACCTAGATTACGGGTCGGCAAACTTTTGTTGCTTGCGGGCCAAAATTAAAGGTTGCAAGTCATTGGCGGGCCGCAGATATTTTTAAAAAGGTAAAAACCGAAGTACGGTAATTGGCAATGAATCACATTTGTTCACACAGATTTCAGTTAAATTTCAAGCAGTGCGCAAAAAGTGATCATTTGAATATTTTCGGCGTCATTGAACCATTTGCACTCAGCATCAACTTTTTTATGTTCTGTTGCCATTTGTCTAAATATAATCAATTATAGGCTCTTTAAACGAGTGATTGTGAATTATATACTTGTTAGGTTATAATATGTTGTTTTGTTAATCTAATTCAGTGAAGCGTGGCAGGCCGGAGTTTGCCGACCCCTGACCTAGATGATCCAAAAAATGCGATCATGAAGTTTGACAAAACATGGACCATGATAAAACTTCATATTTATTTTAATGAGAATTTTATCCAATGTATAAATTCTTACCGAATCCGGAACACACAAATTTTGTTTAATTGGTATTTTTTAGTAGCCCATCATTAAAGTCGGATTTAAATTTCAATATTGAAACCTCATCATTTATGACAAGATAGGATTAGATTTTTATATTAACCTAAAAGAGATAACAAGGATCAATCATATGGAGATCCAAGGCCAGTCTATGTCGGGTATAGGAATAGTCAACCAGGTATTTGTTTCAGATGTATGTACGAGGGTGAAAGAAGTCTTAATAGCAACCACCATAGGCAAGAAGTCGACATAAATATCTCTTATGGTAATCTAAATTGTAAACTGTGAACTCCCACAGGCTAATCAGGGAGGAATGGCGAGCTTGTTCTTAGCGTGTATCACGTTGAGCCAATCGTCTACCATAGTATGAGTTTTGAGGTCAGGAAAACATACAGCATCTTTTTATTAAGCTTGTTCAACCAATACATTATGTTTCTTCAGGCTCGGCGGTGTGGCGCATTGTGCTAAGCGTTAAGAATATGCTCGCTACCGCATCTCCGCTTGTGTCCCTGCGTGTGTTTGCAGGTTCGAATCCCATGTAGGGATGATCATGTGCGACAGGATTGCTGTAAACTTCGCCGCCGTAGGGTGGTTCTCGTAACCGCTTGTCGGTTATGGCTTCCTCCACCATCAAGTTCATGCTTCCAAAAACAAATAACTGGTTAACTAATCCCATAGTAGAATGGTAACCAGACGAGAGGCCGTGGTCCGTCATATGGTCAAGCCGTCTTATCGGCTTTCCTCTCCTCAGGATGAATATGTAAATCCTATCCTATCATGCAAGGTTATGAAATTAATACATAAACATATATATTCAGGTTGCTCTGTCCACTTCACTATCCTTCCATGAAATTTTCATTATATTTCATGGGTTATGAAAAACCTGAAGATATTCCTAAAGACTTGGAAGAAAAAAGACGATGGTTATTCACAAGGCCTGCTACAATTGAACTTACACAGTAAGTAGATTGCACTTTATTATTATTACTAATAAATGTACATTTTGTAATATTTTACAGGTTTTTGTTATATTTTGTATTCTCTTATTATTTTAATCATTTCAAATGAAAAATGAAGTGCAAGACTCTTGGATGGAAATGACTTTTGAGTTAGCGGAGGTCGCTTTAAAATGTGGAGAAGTTCCGGTCGGCTGCATTCTCGTATTCAATAATGAAAAAGTAATCGGCGTTGGGCGAAATGAAGTGAATGAAACGAAAAATGCAACACGGCATGCTGAGGCAGTAGCAATAGATGATGCTTTTAAAAACATTCATAACGATATGACATCCGAAGAATACAAACCACCAAAAGAAATATTTAAGAACTGTGTACTTTACGTTACTGTTGAGCCTTGTATCATGTGCACTGGCATGCTTCGATGCATGGGTGTTCCAAAGGTTATTTACGGTTGCAAGAACGAAAGATTTGGTGGTTGTGGATCTGTGTTGAATATAGATCTAGATGAAGATATAACATCTTCACTTGGACCGGTGTTAGAATGCATTGGAGGAATACAATCTGAAAGATCTATCAAATTACTAAAAGATTTTTATAAGCAAGAAAATCCAAATGCACCAAATCCCAATGTTCGAAAATGAACGGCTAACAGTTATGGCTGTGACTAGGGCTGGGCAATTTTGAATTCCTGATAATATCAGAATCGAATGGAATATTTTTTTCGAATCGAATCTCGGATACTTGGGATTCAATGGGATATGTTTTTCATTGTAATTGGTCCTGTCAACACATGAATAACTGAAAACATAGAATACATCACTGAGACAGATTGCGGAGCGTTCATACACAATGAAAAACACTTACCGGCATGTAACAATACCTCACTACAGAAAATAGTCATTTGTCAGAATTGCATTGAAAAAATATGCCTTTTTCACCTCGACCATTGGCGGATGGAAAAAAACAAGATGTCGGCGATTCTGTACCGCTTCGAATAATTTATCGAATGTTCGATTCGAAGTGCTCAGCCCTAACTGTGACCAACTCAGATCAGATTAGGTTGCTGAGATTTATTCAAATATAGTATATATTTTCTGCTTATGAGCTAGATCCCATGCCTGGTAAAGCAAGATTGTCACTTTCATTATTTTGCTTACATGAGTTTCTTGATCCTTTGTTTCAGTAATTGGGGAACAGAAAATGATGAATCTCAAAGTTATCACAACGGAAATTCTGATCCCAGAGGATTTGGACACATCGGTATCAAGGTTCCAGATGTTTACGCTGCAAGTGAAAGATTCGAAAAACTGGGGGTTGAGTTTGTCAAAAAACCTGATGCAGGTATGAGAAACTAATTATATTGCAATATTACAATGTCCAAATTGAATCGAATATTCGGGTACTATATTTAAAATGGATGACATTTGATTTATGATTATCTGAAGAACTTGGTATATTTCTATTCAAAAATACATTAAAGATTTCATTTAATTTTCGACAATGTTTATCTAAAGTATTCTGCATTACTAATTTGTATCAATTTACAATGACTTGAACTATATTTGAAAATACCGCTTCAGAATTATTTAAAATAGAGTAATAATTGATGTGGGGTTATGAACTTATGACTGAGGCTGGTGATTTTTGAATACCTGGTGATTTCAGAATCTAAACAAATTCAATCTCGAATACTAAAAATACATTTGAATTTCATATTTAATGACTTGATTGTATGTGGAATTTTCATTGTGATAGGTAAATAGGTTCTTCAAATTACTGAAAACATAAAAACGATCACTCAGTCAGATTGTCACATGTTTCATCAATAACTTAATAAAAAGAAAAACACGTCTTATGGCAGAAATGCATGTCAAAAATATGGCTTCGCGATGAAAATTGAGTTATTCCACCTCGAAACAAGATGGTGACGATTCAAAATTGACTGATGCGAACAATTTACTATTCGTGATTCGATTTGAAAAGCACAGCTCTAGTTATGACGCGTGTATATCATATGTGTGGATTGAAATACAAGTTTTGGGACTTCATTGATATTATCTGCCCTCGCATTTAATTTTAATATACTGTTCTTAATATTTTTATGTACCTTCTTAGTTGGCTTTGTAATATTCGTTTTGTCTATTTGTGGTTCAAATTTGGTTGACATTACATTTTTAATTTATAACATACTTTCTGTTTTAGGTAAAATGAAAGGACTCGCATTTATAAAGGATCCTGATGGATATTGGATCGAGATATTAAACCCTAAAGTTTTATCACAAAAATAATAAATCTTTCACATTAATTTTAATAAAATGAATATGCTCCTAATAGTCTAATATTAATTCAATTGCAAATCAAATATGTGTTCAAAAATATCAATTATTTACTTGAACCCAAACTATTCATTCTCGAACAATAGATTAAGTGAAATACAATGAAACAAGCTCATTCATGTTTGCTATCTGAATAACATAAAGCAACTGACAATATGGACAGCTAATGGAGTGTTATATTAATAATCATTTAGTTGACATTCTCTGCTTACAAGAATGAGAAGGACTAGGTTTACCCATTGCCTACTTCAGCCATAACTTCTAATACGTCGGTTCTCAACCAGTGGGCCATGTCCCACAGGAGAATTTTCAAATGGCCCACAGACATAATAAATATTGCTAGAGTTGTCAATAAATTTGGTCAAGTTAGATTGAAGGAGAAATGGTGGAGGATGCTGTATTTTGCTACAGGGTGGCAATTTTCATTCTTATTATCAAAGTAAAATTGTCTGTGTTTGCAGAAAGAATTTTTTGTTTTTCATGTAGTTATTCCTGTGTACGTAAAACTTGATGGGCCACGAAATTTTTTTTGGCCAAGAAGGAAAAATGGTTGAGAATCACTGTTCTGATATAACTAACACAGCTCGTGTCTTCGATAATTCTTAGCAGATTTCTGTTCCTGGTACAAGGTGGAAAATAACAATTTTGTTGAGTATCTGGTTGATCAACCCATCCCTCATTATAATTCACACTGTGTTTATTGGGTTATACAACTTTTACATCATTTTTTGGGGTTCGTTAAATTTTGATTTAATATAAAACTAGCATGTTGCAATCTCTTTTTAAATTCAAGTAATTGTTGCAATTTCATAATTTAATTTAAGTAATTTATTGCAAAATCGCTAATAAACAACTTGTAGAACATCATGCTTTCAAGTTGAAAATATTTGAGATTTTGGTATTATAATCGTGTTCATAGTGGCTAGGGAAAGCGGGTTGGAAATTTTCGTAATTATATGGAAGGAAGACACCATGATGTAATTATAAGGGAAACCATGGCATTTCGGGCGCATTGGAAGTGTGTGTACCAAATGAAGGTAACTAATTATGTTCGCCTAATTTGCATCAAGTTATGACATTGTTTCCTGAAATGATGATGGGTTTTTTCAGACTTGAGGTCGCTGCAAAATCATCGTATTTGACACTGTGTATACTCCGGCTCGGCGATGTGGCTCATCGTGATAAGCGTTTGAAATACCGCCACCGTACCTCTGATGGAATCCCGGGGGTTGAATCAAGTGCAAGAGGATTGCTGTACTGCTCACCACCGGGGGTGGTTCACGCTTACTGACTGACTAATCTCATATCCGACATGAACTGGTAACGGGACGAGAGACAGGTTACGAGTCCATGTCAGGTATAGGATTAGTTAGCCAGTTATTTATTTTCAGAAGCGTAGACTTGATGGTGGAGGAAGCCGTAACCGTCTAGCGCTTACGTGTACCACCCTGCGCTATATCTCGCTATCAATGTTCCCTCTAATTTTTCGTCGTATGTGTGCGCAGAAATTTTGGTGTGTGCGCACTTTTTTGGAAATAACTAATATTTGTGCAAAAACCAATGAAAAAATTTTGGCGTTCTAATCGGGTAATAAGTGGGCCAACAACAAACTTTCTCAACCTGCCAACCGAGCACATTGTTACATTACATCGAAATACGTCTGTGCGCAGTAAATCTATGCGTGTGCGCAGCCTCTGAAAGCTGTGTGCGCGCACACCTTAGAGCAGTGGTTCTCAAACTTTTTTAGTCTCAGAGCCGCATTTCAAACCTCAAAGCTGTGAAGAGCCGCACACAAGCAACGCAAGGTAAAATAACAACAAACCTTAAGCGCGTATTTAAAATACCAAGTCCTCGTAACAACAACACACCTAACAACTAGAGCTGGGCAAAATATTCGAATAATAAAATATTCGAATGCCATTTTACTATTCGAATATTCGGTACCACGTGACCTGCGCCGATCTGCTTGGACACCGAACTCACGCGTCTCCAACTCAATCGTGAATTGTGCGAGATTTCCCTACGCCGCTCGCTATCAGAAAAAAAAAACAAATTTGAAAAGTCGTTGTTTTTGCGTTATGGTGTTATATGCTTATCTTTGCACTTAACGTATCGTTTCAATACTTTATTTTGCAAAAAAAAGGTATCGACCGTTCCGTAAATTTAGAAACGTCAAATCAGATTAGGTATTTAAAATAAATTTCCAAGATTTTAAACTCCGCATGCTTGGTGACATATCATTAGCCATTTCTTGCATTACCGAACATAAAGTTGATTGAAAATAAATGTTAAAATGACTTTTCGGTGTTTTATTGTGGAAAAGGCGATTTTAGATCGTTAGAAAACTCTAGTTATGTAAATAGCATGGATTTAAAAATGACCAGAAGTTTTTCCAAAAGCTGGTATGAGTTACTTGTATGAAAAACACTCATTAAATTGTAACCAGATAAGAAATCTCATGGCCTACTCCCTTTAAAGCACTTTGTATTAGCTTTTTAGTGATCCATTCCATGCTTGGCCAAGTGATGTTCCGAATATGTAACATTGTACTCGACCATACATGGCCGCTGAGCCAAGAGTAAAACGTAAAATTAATCGTGAATTTCGTTGTGACAATGCACACTGACTCGTTCACGAATTGTTGCGTCTATTATCATCGAAAATGATTACAACTGGTAAATTTTGAAGTAATTGGGCAGTACTAGTTAAGTCTTATAGCATGACATAATCAAAATCATTAAGTGAAGTGCTGAATTTGCAATTTCCTTAAAGAAAATTGAGCATTACTCAGTAAGCATTTTAGCTATAATACCCATCGGGGTGTTGTTTTGTTGAAAAAAAAAACTTGAAACTTTAGAGAATTAGGTATAATTAGCGTCTGACCCTCGATTAGGCACAAAGGCCTAGGAATGCCTTTATTGCCAATTTTTTTATTCGCTTTTTTTAAATCAACATTCAGGATTCACGCAATCGTAAATTTGCTAGGTTTATCTATCTAATACTAAAATAACACGAACACCATAGGAAAGCACGAGAAACTCAAGTATCGTTTTAATAAATATCTGCATCTCGGTTACAGTTCACTTTAAACAGGCACGGTTAATTTACAAGCGTTGATAAGGAAGATCAAATCCAAGACAGGGAATAAAACTCAGAATAAAATTAATTTGGTTTAGAAAATCAGCCCTTAATGTATTCAACAGCTGTCGCTGATGTGAACGCAAGGGTATACTAGAAATATGAAACTTCGATATTCGGCGACCGCTTATTCTTGCAAAAAACGAGAAAGGGCGGGAATATAGAATACAAACTTTAGGATATCGCCGCCAAAACGATCGCGGTGACAAAGACAATCAGCGATTATGATAAAGTTAACCATTAACCAATAAAAAAATGCTTTTTTGCCGACTTTTCAATGTTTCTATCAATTTTTTAAATTTTGTATCGAACTCCGACGTTCTGGATCCCTGTTATGTATAAAAAAAATGTTCAAATTATTCGATTTCAAAAAAGATTAGATTTTGCCCACCCTAGATTAACAGCTATTTAATTTGGCTTTGATTTCTAATAAGTTTGTCAAAGCGGGTCGTAATCGCGGAGGTTGCAAAGTGCAGTAACTGCTTGAGATGATCGCCAGATATTTCGGGACTATTTTCGATTACTGAAACAAAATTAAAATGCTCTAGGATTAAAATAATCATTGAGTTATTTGATTTATAAATAATATCTGGGAATGCGACAAACACTGAAAATCCACGGAAGCAAGCCAATGAATACAGCCATGTCTAAAATCTTGCCAAGTGAAAAGTGTACGAGTGTCCGAGAAACGCTTACTGTTGCGTCACTATTGCATCTTGTAGGTTAGTCAACGCTACGCAAATAAACACGGGGAAATTCAGTCGACTAACTAATAGACTTCAGCATTTAGTTTTCAATGAAAAATTTTCTCTGAAAATAATTAATTTTTGAAGCATTAACGAGAGCCGCAGGAAAGGTTGTTGAGAGCCGCATGCGGCTCTCAAACCCTAGTTTGAGAATCACTGCCTTAGAGGGAACACTGCTCGCTATCCTCAATTACTATCATAAAGAAACACGTTAATAGAACTAGCTGTCAGAATTATATTTTCACCATGTAAGAGTTACACTTTCATATTACATAATAAAGTCAAATATTGTTACATTTGTGGACAAAAGAAGACTGAAACTGCAATCATTATTAACAATCGTTATTTTTAATAATTTCCAAAAGTACGATTGTTCAACAGAAAATTATAATATGTCGATTCAATGTTGGAGGAAGTTTGCTTCGACGTATGTATCTCTTACTATGTTACAGCAAAATTTCTTTCCGTCAACGTGGAGCTAGAAATAGAAAATCATTTTTGGAATATATTTCTATATTACAATCAATTTTGAAGAACATGGATATTCGTACTTATTCCACTTATATTATGGGATGATTTAATACCCAAGACGCGAGATGCTCCCGAAGTATCGTATCAAGATGGCGTACTACCTGAACATAGTATGTGTACCAGGTTAGGGTTGTTCAGGTTGAGCGTCATCTTGGTACGAATACTTCTGGAGCGCCCAAAACGACATATTGTCATGTTTGGAACCTGTTCTGTGATGCAATAATAAGATGGTGAGGAGTAAGTACAGTTCACTATCAGGATTCTAGTTTACTCATGGGTAAGTGAAGTCATATGTTTGATTTGTCGAATAATACGAGCTAAACGAGGCTGCGTTCCTTGTGTTCATTTCCTTGAATAGTACAAATATGTAAATTGAGCATGCCCGTAATAAACCTATTTCAGTTTTATTTCAAACAGCAATTAGATACTCTTTGAGATTCAACATCAATTTTTGAAAATCTTCTGGTTGAAATTAGATGTCAGGGAATGGTTCCATTACATTTGAACCCACGTACATTTGAACCCATGACAATTGCACCTGTATGCTATTGCACCTATGGAATTTTTTTTGTTTCACGGATAGTTAAACCCATACCAAACCTAAACCATGGGTTTTAGCACCCGCATATAGATTGAACCCGTGGATATACGCATGGGTTCAAATGTACGGTCACCTCAGGGAATATATTTTAGTAAATTTTTAGAATACAAAATACACTTCGAAATAGGACTCGTACATTTGAGAATTACTACGCTCACACTCCATTCCAGCACATCTCAATGAGATTTGTGTAATCAAGAACGAAATTTATACCGTACATATAAAGGGAGGTATTGAAAGCCATTTACTTTAGAATAGTAATTAACATTCTCACCACAACGCTACGACCGACAATTCCATTTCCTACAGGCGCGTCGTCAAGAGTGAGAGTATCAATGTAGTAAGAGTTCAGATGAAGGTGTCCGCTTTTTGACGCTGCCAAGGGTTTGTCTCCGTTTGGGTTGAGATCGCCTTTATCACTGCAATAGGGATGAGATGAGGTAAGAGTATAAGGAATATTTACTTTCTTTACGCATTCACTCATTTTTTTTTATCTTACTTATATATTTCTATTTAATCTCACTTGCATTCACCTATGGTACTATATTATGCCATGATGAGCTGGATCGGGAGCCTAGAATCCTAGATGACCTTAATCGGTTCTGCACACCGACCCGCACAAAACAATAATCAATCACTGTTATTACTGCTGGAATCTTTTCTTTATTGTACTATGTTTATAATAGTGTTGATTTTGTTTTTGTAGCAATTAATCTCTCTCTTTACGCGTATTTAACACATAACCAAGTATTTTAAGTGTTCGTGGATCCGAAATATTTTTGCGTATCTCAAATAGCAAAAACACTCAAGCTCACTCTTATTAATCTTACTTGTTCGGATCTCCTGTTGGATTAAAATGAGTCCCAAGACCGTCACATGTTGTTGCACCAGGTGAAATCTTGTTTTGGTGAACATGCATGCCGTAAGTGTGTCCGGGTACGTTGTGAATGCTAACATGAACTCGAATCTTGTTATCCTAAAAATTAAGATTAAAAAGTGGCGGAAGAGAAGCAAAAATGAGAGATATAGATTCAAAATTTTAAACTTACTTTTTCCATGAAATGTATTTTTCCACGGTTTTCGCCAAAAGAACAAGTCGCGGCTTTGGGGTCTCCTGTAAAATAATTGGGTGTATTGATAGTTATTCTTATTGTATATATATATACATAATTCATAACAGTACTCGTTATTTTCAGCAGCGCGTCTTTATCAACATAGCGCAGTTATCAACTAAAATAAATTTGCACAATTTTTACCGCCCCCGAAATTTGGAGGCATCCACTCTAACTTGAAAAGCTGGGGAGCATATTGGGCGATACAAACATTATTGTTAGTGACAGTATATAAATGCCAAAATATTATTGTAGCCAAACATCCTTTACGACTTACACTATCTAAATATCTTATAACTTACCCATGACGAAACGATCAGTGACAACCACGAAGACGATGCACGATAGTATAAGCAACTTCATTGCGACAGATTTCACGATTCCGGATCAGTTGATATCACTTAAGAGTCTATAATCTGAAATATTTCAATGCAAAAGTGATTTTATAACCATGGCGACTATTTTTTCAAGCGCCGTTCTACTGACGTGTAACTAACGCGGATTATGTTATTCCAGTATTGTTACTTGTTTCCGAATACGTCGGAGTTGTACAATTATAATTTGTTTCTAGCCTTCGCCATAACGATATACTCATACGTATAACTTGGGTTATACCTTTTGGCGCATTAATATTATATTGGAATTGTTTACATCAGTGATGTTTGTTCCACTTCAAAAACTAGATCGTAATTTGGTATTACGACAAAACAACAAACCGAAAAATTAAATTTCCCTTTTTCATCGCTGATTTAATACTGCTAAATGAGGGAGAGTCGTGTGCTAAATCATCAAAATATGTCTATCATTTTATTTCTTGAAATGAAACTCTCCTCCATTTACATTTAAAAGTTATATCCAGCGCGGAACATATGAAGATATAAATTGAGTATAAACAAATCACATGATCGTTTTCTCAATTTCGATATTGCGATACTCTGAATGCATGCAGATAAATTTCAGCTTATTCACTCAAGACGTTCAATGCTCTGCATACACCCAACTATGCTATCGGAATATTGCATTCGAACACAAAGTGGCGCTACTGAAGTATGTTTACTAATATTGGAGGCTAACTAATAGAACTAAAATGAGGAAAATCGGAATAAAATTATGGCCTTTCCCAGTACCCTCGCCGGTTACACACACAACGGGAGTACATTCGAATAACATTTAGCGCGCTACATTTTATATCTTTGGCGGTATACTAACTATTTACATATGATTTACCGGTAGGTGCAAATTATTTAATCAAATTTTTAATCAGATTAAAGCCAACTTTAATTATTTTGGTCTATTTATTCGTTTGTCAATTAATCTTCAGACGTTTTTGCACTAATAATATTAAAGCGCAGAGTACAGAATAAGTAGAATTAGCGATCATACAAAAAGCAGTTTGGCATAAAAATTTCACTTCATCAAAGGTTTATCGAATCATAAGAAGTTGAACGGCAGTGACTAATAGTGGCAATATACACAGACTTATCGAATTTTTTATCCTCAATATTTATTCGAAAATTATCGTAGGGTAAATCTTTCAAATCTTTAAAACGTTAAATCCATTTTAAATTATCCATATTACAAGTTAAATTGACGAGTAACTACAGGACTACCTTTATAAAATAACCGAGCACTCTATAGTAAGGCTGTACAACTCAAGCGATTGAGGTAACAATTTTAGTCTGGTCGTCTTTAATGCACGACGATAATTTCCTCCGGATATCATTGAGCATTCATATATTGGTTTCTTGACGTGTTTCGTAACCAATACCCGTTCTCTATGTAAATAAAACAAACAGGAATACGTTGCTTTGAAAGGTTTTTTCATTCGAATTTATGATGTAACAGCGACCCGTTATCGCAGATCAAAGATCTGAATTTGATTCTTTGCCATCACTACTTGCCATAGATAAAATACGCTTCATTGATGCTTTTTACCCACTGCCCTTCTCTGGTAAAGCACGGCATATTGGTAAGACGAATCATCGCGATATCACGATGACTCATTTCCGGCAACAATTGAAAAATGCCAAAAACCTCAATGCAATATATATTCTAAATATGCGTAATGTTTTTTGTTTGATACTTACCATTCCAACATCTAAAAATGAACCTTTTTTGGTACTCCCGTAGTGTGTGTACCAGGTCAGGGTTAGGCCACAACCCTATTACACAACTTGATGTAAAATAGGCGAGCAAAATTAGTTACCTCCATATTGGTATACACATTTCAGGAGCGCCCTTTTTTTATTAAAAACCTTCCTCATAAATGCATGTTATCATTAGGGCTGGGCATTTTCGAATACCTTGTGATTTCAGAATCGAATCGAATAATATATTTCGAATCGAATCGAATCTCGAATACTTGAAAATATATAATTGTAAGCGATTTTATTATAGTAATTGGTCCTCTCAACAAATGAATTACCGAAGACATAGAATAAATCACCCAAATAGATTACTGAGCGCTCACACAGAATAACAAACACGTTTTATCAATAACTCACTACAGAAAATAGTCATATGTCAGAATTTCGTTGAAAAAATACGACTTCAATGAAAAAAAAATTGAGGAATTCACCTCGACCATTAGCGGAAGGATAAAAACAAGATGGCGGCGATTCGAAATTTAGCTTTGAACCGATTCGAATAATTTACTATTCGATTCGATTCGAATATTCGATTCGAAATGCCCAGCCCTAGTTATCATAAACATCACATGGGCTTGAACTTAATCGAAAATAGAAACACGAATATGAATAAAACGGCGATAGTGTATCAGGCCTCTCTTGGCCTTCCCGTGATTTACGCTATATTGTAAATGAGGGCCTAAAACACTTGAGATGTATTCTCGCTCACATGAAGTACAATCTTGATTTGTTCTAAAGTGTTCAGTGCCATACCATCAAAATTGAATAAATAAAGAATGGATATGCTTTATGGCACTTGAATTAATTCAAAGAGAATATTATGCTGATTGTGTCTATGGTACTCAAAGAGTATATATCCTCTGGAGCAGTGTACAATTGTTCAAAAAAGTCTTTTCCATGGTCATTTTTATGTTGTAAATGTTCTATCCCATTATTCAGAATGTCATAACTCCGCTTGGTTTGTATGTTTTTGGGGTTTAACATTGTGTACAATACGCATGTAGTGTATCACGTGCAAAATTGTAAATTACATGAATTTCAGAATAAGACGTTATTTAAGGCAGAATATGATTCGTCCTGGGCTTAGGTGGCGCAGTTGTCAAGCTAACAGGCATTTAAAACCGATCAAAGTCGTCCCGCCAAATACATTTGTTTGTTTGAAATTCACTGAAGAAGGTTCTCTTGGATATAACATCAAAGCAGAAGATGAAGCAAAAAAAGCATTTCCAAAAGAAGATGCAGAGGTGTGGTTCATTGTATGACATTTCTTGCCAAATTGAAATTGTCTGTAACACCGTGGAACAACATCGCAATACATCAATACTTAAAACACTATGTTATTATGTTACGTCATCACGGTAGTTAAACAGTTAGTTAAAATTCAAATGCCACTTTACAAAAGAAAACGATGTACCGGGTTAGGGTTGTTCAGGTTGTGCGTCATCTTGGTTCGAATACTCTCAGAGCGCCGGGTAATTTAGGACACATTTTATAGCAAACTTGAATACATGCATTCTTCAAATTACTTCATTGCAAGACGCTAGTGTTTTTCGTCCACTGGTTTATTGAATTCGACCTAAAAGAGTCCAGTCATCCCTATAATTCCCGAATCCCGAGAGATTAAAGCTGTGATGTTTGTTTACAGGTTCTTTTCAGATGGTTCGAGCATTTAATCGATGATTCAAAAAAAAAATTAAGATGTTTCAAAGATGCTTCTAAACTTCTTACGGATGGAATCACACTCATAAAATGTGTTCAAAAATTAGGTTTGTGGGATTATATTATTGTTTAGTGATATCTGCTAGATGGCGCTATTGTACCATAGTTTTTTCGTTGGCGGATAGAAGAAATTCCCAGAAAGTTGAAAGAGCTAATTTTGAATATATATCGTTCTTAAATCCATTAATATTTTTATTATTTTAAAATTTTGTTGTTGCTATTGATAGAAAGATTACGATGAATATAGCATGACTATAAATCCTATAAAACTTTACCCAATAAAAGCGTATTTGAATTACTATATCAAAACAGCAACCGAAGTGCTTCATACACTTGCAAAGTTATGATTATTAATACCTGAAATTATAAAAACAAAGTATTTAAGACTGATTAGAAAAAACATTTTTTTATCACAGGATGCTTTGAGTTTCATTTACCAAAGGTGGAAGGATATACTTATTTTTTGAATGTGATATACTTGTAAGACGATTTTTAATATAAAGATTCAACAAAATTCTGAAATTGTCTCACCATCAACAGCGGTGAGCGTTTGAAAGAGAATAACACTTTATTATTTTTCTCAATACAACTCATTGTAACGCTCTGCCCTATTGACACAGACATTAGTTTGCAACATATATATTCATTTGTAAGATCTTGTTTTCAAGAAGCCTAGCCTCATTAACAGGGACATCGGACTCTAACTTATATATTCCTTTTTAAAATTTTGTTTTTCGAGAAACGCCAACGCTCGCTAGTTTTGTTCTGATTTTCTTGAAAAATAGGCCGTGTTTTGAAATGCGCTTTATTTTTAAATCATTCCCTTTGATACAAATGTTTTCGGAACAAAAAACATTTCTCCGTTTATTCATTCCGTCCTGTACAGTCATCGCCCCGCCCAATATAATATTAATTAACTATATTTCAAAGACCAATCAACGATGTTTTACTTTGCATAATCAATCCACCGTGACGTCGTACTTTGAGTTCAAAGTGCTTCAAACTGTGGATAATTCGCTGTATCATTATTGATCATTAGAATAAAGATTGAAGATGTAGTAACAGAAATTGACATACCAGGTCATGAGCTAGATCTCACCAGAGCTTTTCAAATCGATCTATCAACTAGAATAGATACTTCACTTTGGCAAGAAATGCCTGGTGTCGTCGACTATCGAAAAATTTCTCCCGACAAAATTGTTGTTACATACTTTAGAGTTTAGAGCTAAGAGAATGACATAGAAGTTGAGATGTAGTCGTGTGTAATCTAGTTATACAGAATTAATTTCAATGTGGCATTCTGCAGCTTAAATCAGAATCACGAGTTTGGGTTTCTTCAAAATTTTATATCGATGAAAATAGTTTTTAATAACACTTTTTCAAAGTGTGATGAAAAGTAATATTCCATAAGACTCTATTATTATGTTTCATTGTTCCTCGATTTATTGAGACCACCGAGCAGATCCCTGGGGTGCCACGAAACCCCGATTGAAAACCACTCGTTTACACCAATTATATGACAATAGTTTAATATTAATTTAGCTAACGTCAAGATTCCAGGAATCTACAATAAACC